TCTGAAACTCAACATCCAAAAAAACTAAGATCATGGCCACTGGTCCCATCACCTCCTGGGAAATAGAAGGGGAAGATATGGAGGCAGTGACAGATTTTACTTTCTTGGGCTCCATGATCACTGCAGATGGAGACAGCAGCCCCGAAATTAAAAGACGCCTGCTTCTTGGGAGGAAAGCGATGACAAACCTTGACAGCATCTTAAAAAGCAGAGACATCACCTTGCCAACAAAAGTCCGCATAGTCAAAGCTATGGTTTTTCCTGTAGTGATGTATGGAAGTGAGAGCTGGACCATAAGAACAAACCTATCAATTCTAAAGGAAATCCACCCTGAGTACTCACTGGAAGGACAGATCCTGAAGCTGAGGCTCCAATACTTTGGCCATCTCATGAGAAGAGAAGAATCCTTGGAAAAGACCTTGATGTTAGGAAAGTGTGAAGGCAAGAGGAGAAGGGGACGACAGAGGATGAGATGGTTGGACAGTGTCATCGAAGCAACCAATATGAATTTGACACAACTCCAGGAGACAGTGGAAGATAGGAGGGCCTGGCCTGCTCTGGTCCATGGGGTCACAAAGAGTCAGACACGACTGAATGACTAAATGACGATGGCTATCTCTGTAGGCCTGAATGGTCTTTGTTGTTCCCAGGTCTGAGGGGCAGGATCAGAATACCATTTGGAGAATGTATAAAATGTATTCAGCATTAAGGAAATATAAGATACAATACAAAATGATTCTAAAATACAATTGAGATAAAGTGTATAAAACCATAACTAGTACTGTAGAAACCATAACTGGTACTGTAGCATTTGTGGTATAGATACAGTGGAGATACAATATTGTTACAGCTACATTGTGAACGAGATGTTAGTACATAAGAGAGATTCTCAAGTTTATTGATACAGTTGCTACCGGTAGTAATAACTCTGTTAAAATACAGTATCATTATCTTCCCCTATCACCATTCTTACTTCAGGTCCTAATGTGTACATTTCTTGTTCTCAGCAAACTAAAGTTGCCTGGCATTCAGAGACACAAGCTGACTAAGACTATGCTCAGGTGGGTGGAGTTGGGCCAAGTAGGGCACAGTAGTTCATTAAAGCCACAGGGACAGTACGGGAAAGTTAAGAGGAAAAGCCCTCACATTTTGCCCCAGGATATAGAATGTCATAACTTCTTTCGAGCGTAAGAGGGATCTTGTCAGGGAATCTTTTGAAAAAGTTCCTTTCTCAAGAAGAAAAAAAATGAAAGTACTGTATGTCAAATATGATCTAAGGTATTCTCTAAGAAAATAAATTACATAAATTATATAGATGATGTGTTGTACTGAAACGGGCTTACTTTTTCAAAAATTTTATGAATTTTGAAGAAAATATCATTTAAGCTTATAACTTAAATCAGGCATTTCTCTTAATTTTAAAATACAATGCATTTTACATTTTAAATCATAAATGATGTCTTGATCTTTTTTTGCATGAAAATGTCTAGGATGGTTTAATTTAGTTTGGTTGTAGTTTTTGAAAGTAGGCTGTTGCCAGCAAAAATTTACGCGATCGGTGTTGTTTGGGATAGAATAGTGGGCTGCCTCTGTACACAAAGATCTAGTCAAGTCCCGTTGCAATGAATGGATCTCCATTTTTGACCTTCATTTCAAACTTGTGCCTCTTTTTTTGCTGTTTATTGTTTGTTTCTTTAAAATAAAACCAAGTCCAAGTCATTGAGCAGTGATTATAATACAGATTCTTGATAGCCATAAAAACCAAGCACTTGTGTAATCTCTTACAGCTGAACCTCTAAAAAATCCCCCCTTTTTCTTCTTCTTCTTCTTCTTCTCCAAATATAATTTAAAATATACAGGGAATGGAGGGGGCTGTTCCAGGAAGGACTGCTTTTAGTTTTCTGTTTCATCTCAAGAGACAGCCTGGGGAGCAGTTGCTGCTTTTTGAAGCCTAAATTTAGCCCCTGCTCAACCTTCAGTGCTTTCGGGACGACATGGTCTTTGTCCTCCTTTTCCATTTTGCATTGCATGGGCAGCAAAGACAAAAATAGTCCCAGTGTCACATTCCATGCCCAGAGCAAAGAGCGCGCTATCTTTTTTTTGCAGAGGTCTCCTGGATTGTTTTCTAAAGAGGTGCCTCTTTTCTTTTTCTTTGTAGTTCAGCTTATATTTTCCACTCTTTTGAGTTTTGGTCCTTCAGAATCAAACTTCTGTTAAACTTGAAAGCCATTTTTTGCTTTCCTCTGGAAATAAAATAGTCAAAGTTGCAGTTAAAAATGTGTAAAGCTTTTACTCCTCAATCATGATCACTTCATATTCTATTCATTCCTCCCGCACTAAAGTGGGTGATTTTATTTCCTATGATACTTCAGCCCCTTATATCCCTTCCATTTGCACACACGTGTGTGTGTGTCTGTGTGTGTGTGCGTGTGTGTGTCGTGTGTCGGAAATAAAATAGTCAAAGTTGCAGTTAAAAATGTGTAAAGCTTTTACTCCTCAATCATGATCACTTCATATTCTATTCATTCCTCCCGCACTAATGTGTGTTATTTTATTTCCTATGACACTACAGCCCCTTATATCCCTTCCATTTGCACACACGTGTGTGTGTGTCTGTGTGTGCGTGCGTGTGTGTGTCGTGTGTTTGTATGTATTTAAATTGAAGATTGTGCTAAAAAGTCTTTGGAAGGACAAAATTTCATATGTCGATATCAAAATGCTCTTAAGTACCGTTTGTTAACTCACCTAATGTATCAAACATGAACAACACAATTGCTGCTTTGTGACCATTCAGGAATTCTGTACTTCATAGCAGTGAGAGGTTTTAAATTGAAAACAAAGTACTTACTATGGTTAAATAAGACCCTACAGGAATTAAAACTGAGTATGGTTTTAGATTGCAGGTATCATCCATAGATAGCAGTAGACTCATAAACAGTAAAGTCATTCATCCTAAAACCAAATTATTATTAAATGTGCTTCATTTTTTAAGAACTGAGACTTAATTGAAATTTAAATGCTTCCTGTTTGAAATAAATAGATATGTAAAAGGTTGAAGGTAATAGATGTATTGAATCATTTTGGCAACACTGGCCTTTGTAACAATTAAAATGAGAGTCCAGTTTTATTGTTAATCATTTTTGTGCCTTAACTCTGAACTAGGGGAGATAGTTTTAGGGAGTAGGATATGAAGGGTGTTTGTATGCATGAGAGGAAGAGAGAGATTCTTCTCAAGGAGGAGAGCCGGGCAATCTCCTGTTCCAAGCTGGGAATGAGCTGGGAGTCAGGATTTCTTCTCCCAAACAAGAATGGGGATCTTTTGGGAGACAGCCCTGATACTCAGGCTTTTCTAACTGCTAGGCTTACACTCAAAAGATTTCGCCATGCTTCTTAAGAGAACTTAACAGAATCCTTTCCTTAGGCTCTCCGGGGGTCCCAAGGAAGGATCCTGTGTTGTGATGTTAATCTCTTCTCACCAGCCAGAGGCACGTTCCTCAGGGGCCCAGTGCCCAAGAAACAAAATCCACCCATAATGGAGCAGCTGCCTCCACATTACCAGGAGACCTGGATGATTCCCAGGGGGCATGTCAACATGGCACAGTGCCCTAGTGTAGCATGGTGATCATTGTGGCAGGCATGAAGCTACCGTGCCTAAGGATGAAATTGCGGCAGAGGCTGACCCAGCAGAGAGTTTGGAGGGTTGGGAACTGGAATCCCATCCATCGTCGTCAGTTACAAGGCCCAGCACTTGGAATTTTTATTCTCAAATATACTAAGCTTATCTCTCTGAAGAGAGGTGCAAGAAAAGAGGGGAAGGCCCATTTCTCCCCCGATTCAAGCTTAATGAAAAATAAAGGTGGAAGGTCTCCCCATTCTCCACCATCAGCGTCCCCCTAAATTTGCAAATTAAATAGAAATCTAAGGTAACCCATTCTGGTGCAACTGTAGGTGGTTGTTCCTCCATATATTATTCTGTGCAAAATGTATTTCCCACCCTCAGAAACAGGCAGATTGTTTGATGAGGAGTTTGATGAGTTGCAGTGTCTTCTATTTAAGTTTATGATTTAAAAAATCTGTATTAGTCTTTCAAGTTTCACAAGACTAACATGGCTACTAGCTTCTTGAAAATTACATTCTATTCCATCTCCTGCCGCCACCTCTGCCATCAGAAACCAGAAAGGGTGTGAAAACAAAAGACTTGCAGGAACATTTTTTCTATGGAGTTATTCATCTTCCCTCTCAGACACAAGGCAGTAGGACCATGAGTTTTCAGAGCCTAGAAAATTGAGCTCCTCCACAGCCAAGGATTTTTCTTGCTTTCTTTGTTTTTCTTTGAAACCAACAGACCTGGATGAGCTCTTCTGTTTAAGAAAATGCCTTCCCTGAGTCCTAAGAAGCCAATGGAGAGTTTCCAAGGGCAGCAGAAAAAGCTTTAACTGGCTCCTTTAGGGCTGTGGTTAACTACAGTCGTGCCCTGCTTAATGATTACCCCGTATAACAACGAATCCGCTTCACGACGATGTTTTTGCGATCTCAAAATGATGTTTTAATGGGTTTTTTTCGCTTTGCAATGATCGGTTCCCTGCTTTGGGAACCGATTCTTAGCATTACAATGATCAAAACAGCTGATCGTTGGGTTTTCAAAATGGCCACCGGCTGCTCAAAATGGCTCCCCGCTGTGTTTTTGGATGGATTCCTCACTTTACAGGCACCGAAAATGGCCACCCCTATGGAGGATCTTCGCTGGACGGTGATTTATTCAGCCCATTGGAACGCATTGCACGGTTTTCAGTGCATTTCAATGGGCTTTTTTATTTTGCTTTACGACGTTTTCGCTCTACAGCGATTTCGCTGGAATGAATTAACGTCGTCAAGTGAGGCACCGCTGTACATGTGGTGGCAACCACCACTCTGTAGTAGTGGTTCCAACCTTGGGTCTCCCAGAAATCCTGGCCAGCACAGCTAGTGGTGAAGGCTTCTGGGATTTGCAGTCCAAGAACATCTGGAGACTCAGGATCGGGAACCACTGCTGAGAGCAGCCATTCTCAACTGTTTTTCAGCCACAGCGATAAACACAACATGAAAGGAAGATAGGCCGAATAAGGATTGTATAGGTCACATAGCGAACCATATAAGGTGGTGTGTGAAGAATTGTTTCCAGTCTGTGGCAACCTTTACATGTGCCAGGGTCCCCCAGGAGGCCATACACCCCCCTCCCACTGAGAATAGCTGCTCTAGAGGACTGCAGTTTTAATAGGCAAATAAGAATTGTCCATTGACCTTATGAGTTCAAGGCTCACCTAGTTCCCAGGTTTTCAAGCCTTTAGCTGGGAAAATTCATCCACATTAAAAATTCTGCACTAACAACTGCTGGGGCCTTTTTTTCTTGACGCTGTTGCTTGGAAGGGGCGATTTTAATTATTTGTGGAGGGAAAAGCTAAGCCCTGTCTCCCGGATTGCAGTAGTCCCAATGAAAACTTCCCCTCTCCCAGTTCATTATTTTTATTATCTAGTTTGACCCATGAGATGTTAACTTTTACACCCCAGATTATGTTCCATGTTTTTCCTGCACTTGTGCTGAAAATATGCAGGCAATCCCACACAAGCAGTACTGGAAGATACTGTTTTTTAATTTCTGAACCCATGTATTTCATTCACTGAAAGAGGAGGTTTGTCAGCAGCAAGGAACTTTCAGTATCCATCATTAAAACAATTGCCATTGATACAAGTTGCTGTGTTTATAGGAAAAATCTGGGTTCCCAAGCAGAAGGCCATTGATCCTGTTTTGGAAAGCGTAACTCTGGAACCAGAACTGGAGGAGGCACTGGCAAATGCCTCAGATGCAGAGCTCTGTGACATCGCTGGTAAGATACCAAACTCTTACTTTGATTTGTTTTGTTTATACCTGTGCTTTTTCTTTTGATAGTAGTCATTATTCTTCAAAGCATACTACAGTATTCTAATCAAAACAACATTGGTAGAGTAACATGAATGTTAATTTTATGGAGGAGACTGGCCTTTTACAGTTGTTAATCATGACAGATGTTTTTACCTCCTTTACAGCACAGGAATATACTTGTATATCAAAGAGGCTGTCACCCTACTGTTAAATACTGATCGACTTTCCTACCAACCAGCCAACCATGATCTCTGTATTTTGAGGCCATGTATAAATATTTGCCATGTTATCTCTCTCTCTTATTCTGTCTGAGGAAGTGGACTTGTCCTTGAAAGCTCACATTATACTATAGCAGTTAGTCTTTAAGGTGCCACCATGTTTTTGACTTTATTTGTTCTTTTGTTTTTTATATCTATATTTAAAAATATAATACTTGCACAAGCACATCTACCTCTTCTACAACTACATAGCAATACAATAATGCTATTTGTAAAGAAAATGGCTTTTAAACTTTTGGCAGTGAATAGAAAAGTGTTTTTCTTCCTTAAATGAATAGTATAGGGTTTATAGCACAGTCTCTCTCTTTCATTTAAAGAAACAAAGACACTCATAAAAACATTTTGAATCATAAAGTGACGTATGCCACAAAGGTTATCTCTTTGTTTTAAAACCCTCCACCTAGAACAGCGATATCAAAACCATTCATGCAATATGAATGTTGCAGGATTTAGAAGTAGATACCTGATCTATAATCAGCTGCAGTCAAAGTTTGGTCTCCTGACTCTTCCTTCAAGAAGGAGCTATAGAGAAGTTGGGAGCAGGTGGTGGAAAAGAGGCCAGCCCATAGAAGCAGCTGTTTAAGGGTATAACATGTGAACTGCTCCTTGTGAATGTTTGCTCAAGGGAGAATATGTTATATATGTGTGCTACTGACTGGTGCATTTTAATTAGGTTTATCACACTATGATTCCTTTGTGATACTGTATAGAAAGCCCATGTTGAATATGGCAAGGTGTTATAGCCTCTAGGTTTCCCTTACTCCCTCTGTAATGCTGCATGCCACTGGTATAGATTATGACATCACAGTATTATATATTTCCTGCTGCCCTGTCAGCAACAGATTATATAGTACAGGTAAGTCAGGACCACTCTGTTGCCTTAGCACAGTGTGGCCAAGATCCTGTTGCTTAGCATAGTAAATTGCACTAGAGTAAGCACGTTAAATCAACGGAGATTTGGTGAGTGGCCTCCTCTGTATGTCCTATTGATTCAAATGGGGCTACTCTGTGACATACTTTAGTACAGTAAGTCACAGAGTGGTTTTTTTTTTGTTTTTGTTTTTGTTTTTGTTTTTGTTTTTGTTTTTGTTTTTGTTTTTGTTTTTGTTTTTGTTTTTGTTTTTGGCTGCCAAGTCAAAACAAACTTACGGTGACCCTAATAGGGCTTTCAAGGTATGGAAATACTTAAGGAGTGGCTGAGTGTCAAGCGCACCATGCTGGGTATCTCTACACAATTAGAATAGGCCCATTTAAATCAATGGAACTTTGATTTAAATGGTGACTCATTAAATCTTGCTCCATGTAAGCAACATGATTTTGGCCAGTGGGCATTACATAGTGTTAAAAAAAAAGACAGAAGATGTGTGACTTCCATTTTCACTCTTGTGCCTTGTTGGAGTCTAAGCAAGGAGGGTCTTGTGCAAATCATTTGTCTTGTTTCCCTATAATTTCCATTAATACTCATTTCACTCATTTGACTAAAACCATCTTTCCTCTGTTCATCTCATATTTATTGAACCAACCTGCTGCTGCTTTTACTATGTCTGTTTTTTCCAGCCTGCTGTCTCTTCCTTCCATACTCTCATGACATCATCCATCTCATTAGAAGTCACAGTGGGACTGTAAGAGAACTATTCTGATGGTGACCTCGTGGCCCTGTTTTTAAGAATGCAGAAATGCTTTAGGCTTGCTGCTGGGTCTTGCTGACCCAAATAATTTTGCTGCGTGTTTTCATTCTCTGTTTGCAAAAGCTCCCTGGAACTTGTGAGTTGTGGCTTCCATCATAAGCCAGGATATTGCTTGTTTGTTTGCTTATATACTTTCTTCATCAGCTGCAGACTGGTAATTTGGAACCCCCATTGCTCTCGAAGGAAGCAAGGTTTCAGTGTCCAGTGAACATGTGAACAGAGACCTAAGGTTCACATAATCAGCTTGGGATGCCTGTTCATCAGTAAATCTGCATACCTGTAAAAAATAGCAGCAGACCATTTGGGCAGGGAAATGGGTAGATTCCTTACCTCCAAGCATATACTATACCCCAGTTGTTCTGAAAGTGTGCTAGTGCTAGTTGTTCGGAAATATGTGCTAGTGCTAGTTGATGATTATTCTAGATATCCTTTTATTTGTTGAAATCAAAAACAGAAGTGTTTAATAGCTTTAAGAGAGCCCCATGGAGCCTTGTGCTTTATGTCTGCCTTATATACTGTTCTGTTGTTATCTTTCTACAGTAATCCACCAGGGATGGGAAATTTTGCTGTTTATTGGGGATGCATGTGATTTGATCCTTCATTTATTCCCAGTGTGGAGAGTTAAGTTCAAAGTTAAAGGGGGCCAAATAGTACTTAAAGCAGATGTACTGAAATAAATTGGATTTGTCAGTAAAGATGAAGTCCCATTGATTCACTGGGTCTACTCTAGGTGTGAATGACTTAAATTTAGAGACAGAAAAATTAACTGTCCTCAAAAAGGGGCCACTTGCTTCCATCTATGAGCCTGGACTCTAAACTTCCTTTCTTCCAATACAAAGACACCAAGAACAATGATATCTGCAGATAACCTATTTTCTGTGCACCCCTTCACCTGTACAATGTTCATATTTAACGCAATCTGAAAACAAACCATTTAGGATGTGAGCAGTCACAAGTATGTGTGTGTTAGAGCCCATAACAAGAACAATGTACATATCCTTTCAGATGAGTAGGCTGTTCTGCTCTGTTTTCTGTGTTGGAACAATAGTGTAATGTGGGAACTGTTGGTTAAGGGAAGTTGTTTGGAAGAGGGTTTTTGGCATTCTTTGAAATTGGAGCCAAGGGTTCAGGCTACTTTGAATTAGTGAATTGCTTATTCATACAATGTCTGTGTTCCAGTCTAATGATACACATTTCCCACAGCCTTCATTTTCAAAATATATCTTCTAGAATGCTTATAGCTCTGTCAGATCTCCTTATTAAAAATACCATTATCTGTGAGCCTGGTAACACAGCCAAAAAACCTGGGATTTCACTTGTGTTAAAAACCATGCTGAGTTTCACATTCACACAATGAATTCCAAAGTGTATTTATTTTCCTCTGACTTGCTTTATTTTCTTAGGAAATGAGTTAAAATAAATGGCCACTAGAGGGCCATTTCTTTTAGCATTCTGTTCTCTTAATCGAATTTAGCCCATTATGAACCTTGCAGCCAGTTTTAAAAGGGAGCCCTTCCATGAATACCCAATTTAAGAACACAAGCTGAACCTCTGGAATCAATACATCAACAGAAGATACACATTTCAGTTCCTAAGTTGAAATGACTCAAAACCATATGACTTGAGTTGACTCAAATGAAAACACTATGTATCGTGGGTTTTTTTTGTTTTGTTTTGTTTTTTGAGAAATGTAGACAGGTCCTGAGAGACACGTTTCCCATCACTGAACCTCCCTTGAAATTGTTAGCCACAGGAGAGCATTGGGTGCATGCTAGGGTCCATGTGTTCTTCATAAGGACCAGTGGCAAGTTCTGACAGGACTGGCTGGCCTACCATACAGACTTATAATATGTTCTGCACAGCACAGAGTTCTCCTGGTGAACATGTTAAGGTCTGAAGAATCAAATTCATACAAGAAATCATGTTGGAGGCAGTTATGTTCGATGGCTGCTGACTTACACAATAAAATCACACTAATTGTGAGAACAATTTACTGGTAAAAAGTTTTTTTTTAAAAAAAAGAAAAGGAATCTTAGTTCTTCTGTGGCTGAACATTTGATTGTGAGCTTTTCATGACTTCTAAAAACTGCTGAAGCACGATTGAAGCTAGTATTCATACTTGTATTCTGAGCAGAATGCCTTACACAGAGATCATATTCCTTCTGATGAGTTTTAGAGATCAAAATGGTACTCTTTAAGTTCTTGGAAGTTGTTTTCATAAAATGAGACCGCACATGCTCATGCACACACACACACACACACACACAGGTCTGTGTTGTGTCTGGGTGCATGTCTGTCTCTACTATTAATTTTTCTCTTGCAACAAAACAAAACAGCTTCATAAAGTATAGTTGAAATCACTGGGCAACATTCTGTTGTGAAATACCACATGCATAAGGAAAGTTGTACAAGTCTTCTAGCTACTGTATCTGGCAGGTGCAGCTTAGGGCACAACTGTCTCTGTGACCTGCTTATGCCTGTGTATGTGACAACCAGCTGGAACAATAACGCCCACCAGTTATGCGATTTGGGGTTTATGTTGTGCAAACCCATTAGGATTCCAACCCCTCTCAGAAATTCAGTTCACTTAAAAACAGCTGCTGGGAGTTTAGCGGTACCTGCCAGCTCTACAGTTTTATGATTCTATGATAAAGAGAGGTTTTAACTGTTTCCAATGGATTTTTCCAGGGAGAAGTATTCAGAAACACCTAATATAGGAACAGTACAGTCTCCTCTGCCGTTCTCTGCTCTACCATCCTTTGCCCAGCTCAGTCGGCTACGTATATAGTCGCTGAAGCATACCAGAGGGACAGTGAGCAGATGAACAGCAGCAAGGGCTCTGTTGCAGGACTTGTCCTCGTGGGACTATTGTACCAGCGTCAACAGGCACTGATTTACCCTTCTTGGAGTCTTACCAAGATGTTGCTGTAAAGTAGGTGTTGTTGCCAATTTCTTCCTGCGTAAGAGGACTGAGGCGACAGGGAGCCCGAGGCTGTGAGTCTGGTCTTGTGATTCTAGTTTTGGGATTTGTCATAGGCCTCTCATACCTCTGAGTTCTTGAGATGGTGATAAGTGAGTCTGAAGGGGCAGCGTGTCTTAGTCAGCCCCAAATCAGGCATTGGAAACAAACAACACAATATTAAAAAAAAACAAAAACCTAAATGACCGTCTTCTAATCTCTTATCTCCTAATAGATTATCTACTCTTTGTAGTTTACATTCCTGCAAACAGGTCCATTTTGGAGGAGTTCATATTGGTGGCAAATATTGTTGGTGGCAAAATATTTTTATCTCCGCCCTTAAGTAGTACACATTTTGGATTAAACAGTAAGGTTGCAGGCAAAGCTGGTCTTTAATTTGTGTAGATCGCCTGTATTTTCTATGAATAATGATTGCTATTATTAGTTTACTTGAACTTCACTGATCTGGATGGCCTGTAAGGAGCTTTCACAGATAGCTATTAATATGGGAAGACTATAGGCTCACAGTGTTTGCAGAACAATCTTGTGCATGCTTGCTTCAAACTGAATCTCAACAAGCTTACCCACTAGTGTGCATGTACTGGATTGTAGTCTTAGTCCATGTAAGGGAATGCCTATTCTATGGTAGTGCCTACTGCAACATTTGTGTGATTGCTCTAAAATGACCAGTTATTTCGGTAAAGACCAGATTACAGCCTTAGGAAAGATGCATTCTGAGCTGCTGTCAGGTTTACAGTTGCACAGGAAGTTGCATTTTGTCAGAGCATTTGCTTCTAAGGATGGATGTAGCTTTGTTAGGCTTTAATATTCTTGTGTGCTGCTGCTGTATGCACTTCACAGAATGATTGTGCTAATGTGTGGATTAACTCGGAGGTCAAATAAGAAAGTCCAACTGTTTAACCAATTTTGTCAGGACTAGACATGGGCTATTCATACTTCTGGGGATACGAATACAACCTCCCCCAAAACTAGCTGGCCCAGTCACCAGGTTCTGTACGGCACTGGGGTCCTCTGTTGTCATGCCAATCACGGCGGGAGCCTGGCCTGCTTTCCCTGCCTGTCCCCACAGCCAACCACTTTGGTGAAGAGGCAGGACCGGAAATCTCCCTGCTCAGCTGATCAGTGGTTGGCTGTGTGAGACAGCGGGGGAAAGCCGGCCGGGCTGTTGCTGTGATTGGCATGACAACAAAGGACCCCATTGCCACACGGAGCCCAGTGAGTGGGCCGGCCAGTTCTGGAGGAGAAAATTGGGTCCCCACAGCACCTGTAGTGCTGCGGGCCATATTCATATCCCCAGAAATAAGAATACGAATAGCCCATGTCTAGTCAGTACCTTGCAAATTCTGTGGATGGTTCACATCCCTAAGAGTAAATGAATGTACCACTTTTGCTTAACAATAATTCAATATGATACGCACACAAACCATTTGGTGAGCCAATACTTTGCAGTATGTTACCAAATGGTGAGGAGAAGTTGAATGTTTCCACTGTTGCTTCCTCCAAATTTCTGATCAACTGCAGTAAACTTCTGGTGAAGCTTTGGCTGATACACAGACATTTGGCTGACCAAGGAAAGAAACAATCCAGAAGGATAAACTATGCGTAATAGACAAAATCAGGACAAGGCCACATGGCCCCCAAAACAATACAGATATCACTGTGATTGGTTGCTGCTTCTTAAATGGCTACACAACCCAAGTAATTATGAAGCAGAGGTGGGAAATGTCACTTTTGGGCAGTACCTTATATACTATACTTTGGAGTTCTAGCCCAAAAAGAAACTATAAAGAAACACAGAGTTACATCCTTTCAGTCATGTCAACTATGTTCAGCTTTGGTCAGTGCACTAGGCCTTCTGACACACTTCTCTGCCTCAGCCTCTATCCTTTTGAAATAGGAACAAAATAAAATAATTTATCAGTGCTACTTCGAGCTTTTTTCTAGGCTGCTGTGTGTCTTGGCCAGATTCTTGCTTTCCCAAGAAAGGAGAATTAGTTAAATTGTTTTACTTGTTTTATTTTCTTCTCTCTCGTGTAGCTATTCTTGGCATGCACACCCTGATGAGTAACCAGCAATATTATGAAGCTCTTGGAAGCACAACTATAGTCAACAAAGAAGGACTGGACAGTAAGTAAGATTTATAGCTGCACAGATTCTGCAAAACTGTACCAATAATAACTGTACTCAGAGAATACTATAGCAGTGTTAGTTAACGATGGGACAGAACGGACCTCTCTCGGCTGAGCGACTAGGCACGGGTGTCCTCTGCACCCCTGGACTCTTTGCTTTAGGGTGTGGTTACTCTGGTGAGTTGTATCAATTTCAGCTCCAGCGTTTTTGTAATGGATTTAGAGTCACGTGGTTTTTTTTGTATTGCTGTGCATGTTCACTTTGGAAATTCTTACTCCAGTTTTAAATAGGGCCTTAAAATCGCTTTTGCAAACTACACATCTAATTTTAAAGCATTTCAATTTACCCGTCTGTTGGCATCACAGAGGCTCCAGATCATGCAGTTCCTAGAGTTGCAGACAGATCCTGGTGCCTTGTCCATTCTTGCAACTGTGTTGTCTTTGTCTTGTATTAAGATACCGTGTAGCAGTTTTTAGTCTTCATTTGGACTGTTTGCATTTCTTTTTACATACTGCATCTTTTTTTTTATTACTTTTTTAAAAAATAAATTTTAAGTGGCAAATCACGGAGGGTTTGACAGCACCAGTACAGAAAACGACTGGCAGTGCAGATTTCAGGGGGATACATCACTGAAGTGAAGCAGTACTAAAGTACAAATAAGGTGGAAAAATAAAAATTATATCAGATATCAGTTCTCCTGCCACCCATAATCCATTATATCTCAAAGGTTGCCTTGTTTCCTTTTTAAGGAGAAAGGTGGGGTATCAATCAATCAGAAAGGAACCATGGATGTTTAGGACTGCCGAACTTAAGGTTATATTGTATTAGCAATCAGTTAAGATATACAGTATATCAGATGTTATATCTCAGCCCAATAAATTAATCTGGTTAAATATAGAAAGGCAAGAACTAGATTTGAGCTTGGCGAATATCCTCTTCTTACAAGATAATAAAAATATAGTTTAAAAAAATAGAAAACCCTTTTCTTAAAAATATGTCAATAATATGGAATAAATTTTGAACACTGTTTGTTCCCCCAGTATCTCCATTATGTCCAGTGACAGCTGGAAAAAATCCCCAGAGAATTTAAAAATATCAGCGGAAGAGACAAGTTATTAGGTTAAAGGACTGGCTGGAAAAAAATGGGGAATACAGAACAAATAAGTGTTAGGCAAAGAGAAAATATCTTGGTATAATGTTATTCAGCTAGAATAGTGGACAGAGAGCTAGATAAAAAGAAATGGTAAATGAAAGGAAGTTATGAATTATGAAGGAATTATTCTAAAGAAGGAAAGTCTAGGAGAGGAGAAGGTATGGAAGTGGACAGTAAGCAAAATTTATAACTTATTAGTGGAAGCAGAAGAACAGGAGGATTCACTTAAAATGTTATGGGAATGGAATCTGGGAGAAGAAATAAACTGTAGTGCTTGGAAAAATGTGGAATATTAGAATATTGGGTTCTATGTCAATGAGGATAAAAATAATTTTTGTTTGTTTTATGGCTCCCCCCATTTCCAATGAGTCTTGGGGGTTTGGTTGCTTTTTGGAGTTTTTCCCCCATTTCTGATGGGTCTTGGGGGGTTTGGTTGCTTTTGGTTTTTTTCCCCCATTTCCAATGGGTCTTGGGGAGTTTTTTGTTTTTTGGCTTTTTCCCCACCCATTTCCGATGGGTCTTGGGGGGTTTGGTTGCTTTGGGGTTTTTTCCCCCATTTCCGATGGGTCCTGCATGCTTCCCTTGTTTTTTCCTTTGTTTTCTTTGCATTTTCAACTTGCCCCTTTTGTTCTCTGTGCATTTCCGACCTGCCCCCTTTGTTTTCTGTGCATTTCCAATGGGTCCTGCACGCTTGATTGCTTTTCTCCCCCCCCCTTCAGCCAGAAGAGATTAATTGCGTTTCCAATGAGTCTTGCAGTGATTTTTTTTTTGGGGGGGGTGTATGATTTTTTTTCCTTCCGCCGGAACGGATTAATTGCATTTCAGTGCATTCTTATGGGAAATTATGCTTTGACTTACGACCATTTCGAGTTACGTCCATCTTCTGGAACAGATTACTGTCATAAGTCGAGGCACCACTGTACAGTATATGTATAAATTTTGGCTATTGGCTTTTGAAGAAATAAATGAAGTAAGCAATTTAAATGTAGCTGTATGTCCTAAAATAGTGCTTTTATTAGTACTCAAAAAGGAGAAAGATAGGTGGATGATGAGAGAACTAGTTTCTAATCTGTTAACAGTGACAGTATTATTGTTAGGAACTGGAAATCAACTCACAATATACTGTTAAGTGATTGGTATAGAGAAGTCTGGGATACAGCACTTAATGACAAACTTACATATAAAATAGAAGTTAAGAAGGGGATAACTACTAAAGAAGTGTTTGAAGATATATGTGGAGAATTTTTTTATTTTGTATTGATAGAGGGGAAGTGACAAAGCTTAACACACGAGTCTGTAGGATTTTGGAAGGAGAAGGCCTCTCCCAGAAGAATAAGTGGTTTTAAGCAGTTACTCCCTAATATTTCCAGTGGTGAGGCGTGCTGTGTAACGTAGTTTGGTTTTATTTCCTTTTAGTTTTGTTTACTATGTGTTTTAATCTTTATTAGTTGTTGTAGTTATTAAAGTTTAAAATGAAAAATCGAAAAGAAAAACATACATCAATAGTTGCAGTAGCACTGGTGGTTGTTGAGTTGGGTGTACCCTCATGAAGTGAGTTCACACTTGCTTTGCAGGAGGTGCTGAAAATCTGGTATATTTTGCATGAAATGCCAAGAGAGCTCAGTAGTTAATGCTCCATATTTAGGTATGGTTATGGTCGAGTAAGTTCCTCTCTAGGTGACCAGAGAAACATTGGACCTGCTGACAGAGATGGATTCTAGACAGCAGATTTAACAAGTAAATATTTAAATAATGTCTTTCAACAAAGTTTTGGTTTTATTTTTATTTTTCATTATTTATTCACTTCATTTTTTAAAATGACGTTTTAGGATCCACTGCCCTCACAAGTGTTAATATTCAAAAAATGATTTTATGAGGTGCAGAGGTGTTGCCCTGAAACCGAAAAGTTCTTTTAAAAGGTGCCTCAGAGAGGTCCATTAAAAGTGAAAAGAAAGTGCTCTGTGAAGATAGCTTATATTATAAAACCAAACACAACAAAATGTTTTGGTACACAAAGTAACTGATAAGATAACAGCAGTAGTAGCTCATTCAGTTTCGTGCCAGTTTTCATGATGAAAAAGTAAACAATAGAACAGTTTACATTATGTGAAACAGAGACAACAGAGAAAAAAATGGAGATGCAGTTTGAATGACCGCTTGAGTTGTGTTGACCTATAATTTCAATTAACAAAGAAATACGACAATATAGATGTGGAAACCTGTGCTAAATAGAGATGGGGGTATTTGTATATGAATACCCTGCACAGGTGGCGATGAGGGTCCATCCTCCACTCACAATTCCACCGCTGCCGCCAGCTCTGGGATCGTTCCTATCACTCCGGATCCTGCAATCTGTGAGGCACTCTTTGACCTGGCAGGAAAGCTCATCGTCCCACCTCCTCCCAGCAGTGGTGAGCCGATCGAGATCTCCGGAGTGACAGGAAGGATCCTGGAGGTCGCAGCAGTGGCAGAATTGTGAGTGGACCATCTAGCCCCACGGGGCTGGACCCTCGTTGTCGCCACCTGTGCGAAGGTATTTGTATAGTGCTAAACAAATTTGAGTAACAGTATATTGTAAAATAAAAGTGTTTACAAAATAGTGCAAAAGGAGAAAAGGATGAGGGTTATTTTAAGCAGTTTGTTAAACAATAAGTGGAGAAAATAAAGGTATCATTTTATAAGGCTTTAGCCTCATGAAGTTTTGAAGAGAGCATGGAATCATATAACAGGGGTCCCCAACCAGTCCGTGGGCTTGCTGGAACTGGGCCGCGGAGACAGCCCTCCCCCCCCCCCACGATGGGCATGTTGCAGTTATGGAGGGGCATGTTGCGCTCGCGGGTGGATGTGTCACTCTCACAAAACATCATGTGAGCTGATCACAAGAAGCAACCAAAGGATCTGACTACTTACTGATTGCTCTACCAGGGCAACTGGTTAGAGGAAGAGGAACAGTCATAATTAATGTTTTTGAGACCCTGTGAAACAACCCTACTACCTTCTTCGCACAGGTATAATTAAGCCCACTCAGTATAAACCAGTTCCTGATGACCCAAACTTGACTGATGTGGAAGAAACCTTGGAACGAGTGAAAAACAATGATCCGGACCTTGAGGAAGTCAATCTCAATAATATTAAGGTATGGATTCCTTTCTAGCTAACCTTTCACTCAGTAACAAGAGCGAAAGACTTGGGGTAAATTCTTCCAGGTTATCCTTTAATGTAGCCCAACTGGGGATTTGAGCCTAGTCGACACATGCAATAGTACTGGTGGGTGAATGGTCTTCTCTGCTACAGCTTGCTGGTGGTGGAGCACAGATGTGAATGCAATTCCCTGTAGATAAAAGGGAACTGCATTTCTATCTGTCTTCCATCACCTCCAAACTGTAGCAGTGAAGACCATTCTCCCACCAGCACTATTGCATGTGGCTCAAACACCCTGCTTTCTTACTTTCCCTGGAGATATCACAGTATGTATTTTTTAGAAGAATGCCAATGACTTACTTTTTTGCTTTAATTTCCAAAAATGTATTTGATTAAATATCCCACCTTCGAAACTTGAATATTTAAGGGACAGGGACTTGCTTCTATTATCAGATGCTGTTTATGTCAATTATGATTATCACTAATAACTTGTGTTTAAAATAATTAGTGAAGGATTACTAAAGCCTTTGACTTTGATTACTAAGCAAATTTTCTTGAAAGCTAATTCCATCAAAATCAACAAGACATTTCAGAGAAAAGGTATATGGAATGGGAGAATCTAGTGTAAAAATGCATGATTGTTTCACTTCCAAAAATGAAATGTGGGACAAGTATTACCTCCCCTGCTTCACCCATTCTATTTTGGTGCAGCCCAGCTGAATTTAAACTTTTATTTTCAAAGGCTAACTGTGGGGTGAGTGGTGGGGTGGGACAGCCTCAAATAGCAAAGAATTAATAATTGGAGGACGGTTTAGAGAATTTCAGGAGAAATAACCAAGGTGAAAACTCTTTGCTTTGGGCTGTAAAAGTTGTGTCCCAACGAAAGCAGCAAGTGTAGCCGTTGTCTTCGTGTTTCTGTTTTGAAGGACATTCCCATACCAACGTTAAAAGCCTATGCTGAAGCTCTGAAGAACAACAGCTACGTTAAAAAGTTCAGCATAGTAGGAACAAGGAGCAATGACCCCGTTGCTTATGTAAGTGTTGACACGGCTTGCCCGGGGTAATCTGCTCAGGGAAGCTTTTAATGGATGTGTTTTCTTTAAAGATGACCTGCTATAATGAAGAAGTGTCCAGCCACAAGTCGTACATGAAGGATTTTCTTTCATGGCTGGGAAGATGGTTTGGACACCTATTCTAAGTATATTTAATCCCGGACATTAAATCCTTTTGAAATAGGTGTGACTTGTTTCTTAGTAACCATTTCTGGGCTTTTTATATAAACTTTGGCATGTTGGCGATCAAAAGAGAGAAAGAGAATGGAGGGTGATGGTGGACGAAGCACAGCAGTGTTTACTGGACAAAATGATTGTGGTTGAAATGAAAATATATTGATGGCCCATATTGGAAGAATTGGTGTTCCTATACTTAGTGTGCTAGATATGGGTCTACTGGTGGGCTTACTGTGATGACAGTCCCCTCCCTCTCTCTCTTGCACACAAATTGTTTTTTTAAAAAAACAATCCACAAAATACTTTGAACTGATCAGGCTGGAAGATTTGGGTGTTCTTCTGTATATAGATTAGTCGAAGAGCTGCCTAGAAAAAGTCTCATTTGGGGCAGTTTATACTTGTAGGGTCAGTGTGGCTTCTTCTGTAGTCACGCCTGTTAGACTGGCTTCAGGCCCCTAAGGTAGGTGTCTGAATCATTATCCAAGGCTGAGGATGTGATGTAGCCATCTTTTAAACTGATTTCTGATCACTGTTTGAAAGTGTAGTGTAGGACTACTACCTGTTAAAGCTAAACTGAACTGTCATGGGCAGTATATCCCTTTTACCAAACACTTGGGAGAGCATAGCTCATGAGTTTCCCAGCTATCTGTAAGTAGAAAGAAAATGCAGGATTAGATTGGTATGATACAGACAGCGACACAATTCTTACATAGTCATGGCAGCAAAATAAACATCCAGTTGTTTATTTTGCAAACGGCCTTCGTGAAAACATCCACTTATTGACGATACAATGATTACTGCTTTTGTTAATAATAATTAGCAGTACTGTAGTTACAATCTACATCCGTAATACTATTCTCTACATTCATCTTTCTCTTATAATGGAAGGCACTGGCAGAAATGTTAAAAGTCAACGGTGTACTGAAGAGTTTAAATATAGAATCAAATTTCATTTCCGGATCAGGAATCCTAGCTCTGGTGGATGCGCTACAGTATAACACATCGCTGATTGAGTTGAGAATTGACAACCAGGTAACTGAAAAATCTGTTTCACTTCTCTCAATGCAAAATACATAAAATGAAAATGAAATAAAATGTTGGTTCCTGCTTCATATTCAGAAGAGCTTAGCAAGAAATCTTGCACAGGAATAATGCTTGAAAGGTGGTGTGTTGCATGCTGCTCCTTACATTAAGGGTGACGCAGATTGTTCAGGTGGAGGCAATTGAAAAGGGGAACTCGCAGCGTGCAACTGAGACACAGGATAAATCCCCCTACAGGGGGCATGGAAGGAGCCTGCCTGAGGAACAGGAGGATGGTGTACAGACTCAGGCATCCTGTGGGCAATGGTAGCACCCTGTCAGCTGAGCCTTCTGCAGTACTTTGGAAACATCATTGGATTGCTTCTGACATAACAGAGAAGCAGCCCAGCTTTCTACCAGTTTGACAACTGAAATGATGTTACAGGCATGGGTCAGCCAATCAAAGGCTAACCCAACTTCTTTTTTCCCTCTGAGTTCAGTGCTTCATGAAAGCTATTTTTAAAGTATTATTCTTATGAAGTGCAAGCATGACTGTTCATTCACTTAACCATTGATTCATTCATTTCTTGGATTCTTGGCAAAGTTGGGATAGGGAAGTTTCTTGATGACATTACAAGGAGAAGTCAGTGTCTTGCACGCCTGATTTCTGCTTCAAACTTGTACATTCTTTGAATTTTCCCCCATTTGGAAGGAATAGATGTGGCCAGACTGAACAGTGTGTGCCACTTTCACTGCTGCAAAAATAAATGTGTGCCTTCACCTTACTCATCCCTGGTTTTGAGGGTTGAATTGCTTACCTCTTTATTTGTTGCAGGCTTTTGAATGTTTATTAAATCCCTCTGTCTGTGAAGTAAAAGTGCATGAACTCACAGAGCAGAATTAGCTTCAAGTTCCCCAGAGTAGTCCACCCCTTTTTTACATTAACTGGCACTTACAGTCTCAACTCTGAGTCATTGTTAGGAGAATAAAAACATTTCATTTGCTTACAATGAACAGATAACACAAGCTAACAATATGGCTGACTGTTTTGAGCAACAGACCTCAACAGACTCCCTGCTTCCAAAGACTGACTGAGAAGGAAAAAGAGATACAGAACAGAGAGGTGTGGCTCCTTTTGAACTCAGAGGCAGGAAGGAACAATTGCTTACTGCTAGGCAGTCACCCCAGCCTAGAATGATCTTTCCCAACCACACCTACTAGAGGCAGTACGTGAGGTTGCAGTAACTCCTAATGTTATTTACCCCCACCTGGTTAACACATCATATGATCGCAGTGTAATTGTGTGAAGCAACATCCTTGAGTTGTCAGAGCCACTGTTACCTTCTTTAGGTTGCCATTTGAAAATCCGAACATTATATATCTATGTATATGTCTATATCTACATCTATGCAAAATACATAAAATGAAAATGAAATAAAATGTTGGTTCCTGCTTCATATTCAGAAGAGCTTAGCAAGAAATCTTGCACAGGAATAATGCTTGAAAGGTGGTGTGTTGCATGCTGCTCCTTACATTAAGGGTGACGCAGATTGTTCAGGTGGAGGCAATTGAAAAGGGGAACTCGCAGCGTGCAACTGAGACACAGGATAAATCCCCCTACAGGGGGCATGGAAGGAGCCTGCCTGAGGAACAGGAGGATGGTGTACAGACTCAGGCATCCTGTGGGCAATGGTAGCACCCTGTCAGCTGAGCCTTCTGCAGTACTTTGGAAACATCATTGGATTGCTTCTGACATAACAGAGAAGCAGCCCAGCTTTCTACCAGTTTGACAACTGAAATGATGTTACAGGCATGGGTCAGCCAATCAAAGGCTAACCCAACTTCTTTTTTCCCTCTGAGTTCAGTGCTTCATGAAAGCTATTTTTAAAGTATTATTCTTATGAAGTGCAAGCATGACTGTTCATTCACTTAACCATTGATTCATTCATTTCTTGGATTCTTGGCAAAGTTGGGATAGGGAAGTTTCTTGATGACATTACAAGGAGAAGTCAGTGTCTTGCACGCCTGATTTCTGCTTCAAACTTGTACATTCTTTGAATTTTCCCCCATTTGGAAGGAATAGATGTGGCCAGACTGAACAGTGTGTGCCACTTTCACTGCTGCAAAAATAAATGTGTGCCTTCACCTTACTCATCCCTGGTTTTGAGGGTTGAATTGCTTACCTCTTTATTTGTTGCAGGCTTTTGAATGTTTATTAAATCCCTCTGTCTGTGAAGTAAAAGTGCATGAACTCACAGAGCAGAATTAGCTTCAAGTTCCCCAGAGTAGTCCACCCCTTTTTTACATTAACTGGCACTTACAGTCTCAACTCTGAGTCATTGTTAGGAGAATAAAAACATTTCATTTGCTTACAATGAACAGATAACACAAGCTAACAATATGGCTGACTGTTTTGAGCAACAGACCTCAACAGACTCCCTGCTTCCAAAGACTGACTGAGAAGGAAAAAGAGATACAGAACAGAGAGGCGTGGCTCCTTTTGAACTCAGAGGCAGGAAGGAACAATTGCTTACTGCTAGGCAGTCACCCCAGCCTAGAATGATCTTTCCCAACCACACCTACTAGAGGCAGTACGTGAGGTTGCAGTAACTCCTAATGTTATTTACCCCCACCTGGTTAACACATCATATGATCGCAGTGTAATTGTGTGAAGCAACATCCTTGAGTTGTCAGAGCCACTGTTACCTTCTTTAGGTTGCCATTTGAAAATCCGAACATTATATATCTATGTATATGTCTATATCTACATCTATGTCTCTATGATACTGGAGGATGACAAGACCTACAGGACTTGTCCTATTATATATGAATGAAGAAGTGGGATTAGCCATGGCTCTTTGCCAAGTGTGACTCAGCAGTAAATTGAGTTTTTGTTGTTAAATACGTGGGAAAACTCAGATGCGTGTAAAGTCAGGAGCAAGTGAATGGAGAAACTAAACCTGAAATGACTGAAAGGCTCTCTGTGCTTTTTCTCTCCCCCCCTCCCACGCTGAAAAAAAAAGAGCCAACCCCTTGGCAACAAGGTGGAAATGGAGATTGCAAATATGTTAGAAAAAAATACATCTCTCTTGAAATTTGGGTATCACTTCACTCAGCAAGGCCCCAGGCTTCGTGCATCAAATGCCATGATGAACAACAATGACCTTGGTGAGTTATCTCTTCCATTTCATTGTGCCACTCTTATGTTTTATTTTCTTTTGTATACAGAAGCAGGGATTCCCAAAGAGGGCATTCATAACCTGCTAGAGCAAATGAGATTCTTTGTATATTATCTTTCTGCCAGACAGAAGTTGTTGCTTAGTTTGGTTACTTCTCCCCCCCCCTTTTTTTTTTTTAAGTTTTCTTTTGGTTTCATTTTGCAAAGTTTTTTAATGAGGTTTTCTGTTTTTGTTTGTTTGGGAATATGAATTCTCTGAGTTTATCAAAAGGATCAAAAAGTTAAAGAAGGGATACAGACATGTGAAAAAAAGGCAGCAGAGCAGATAAATAAGAGGCATGAGGGAACAAGAGAGAAATACTGTAAAAAGGACATATTTTCCCTTCCTAGGCAAATACCAAAAATACACTTGATGTGATTTTTATGGCAGAAATCAACTGTTCTGGCAACTGTGGAAATATCTGTTTCCTTGTTTTGTTTCTACACTACATTTCTCTTGGTGAGGGGAAACAAAGGCAGGTCACGATGATTAAATCAAGTTAGGGTGAAAACACAATAAATTACAAGTTAAAAATCAATTAAACATATAAAAATAATTTTAAAAGTGGTCTAAGCATTTCCAAAGACATTTAAAAATAATACATGCCCACCATCCACAAGGGACTCAGTCTGGCCCGGTTTAGTTATTAAAAGCCTGCCTAAAGAGCAGGTCCTTAATTGTTGCCAAAAGGATAAAAAGGAGAGGGCGAACCTAATCTCTCATATAAAAGCCTGCCTAAAGAGCAGGTCCTTAAGTGTTGCCAAAAGGATAAAAAGGGCTAACCTAACCTCTCATAGGAGAACATTCCAGAACCTGGGAGCAGCCACAGAGAAGGCTCTCTCTCATGTCCCTGTCAAACTGTGATGACAATGGGACGAAGAGATGACTCTCCTGTGAAGATCTTAAGAGCTGGGAATGCTCATAGGCGGGGGTATGGTCCTTCAGACAACCTGGACCCAAACCCTATAGTGCAGTAGAGATCCTAACCACCATCTTGAATTGGCCCAGAAATGGACTGGTAACCAATCTGTTGTGGCAGAAGAGCAGTCCCATGTAGAGAATGTTGCAGTAATCCAAGTGGAATACAACTAAGGCATGTGTCACTGTAGATATCAGACATCCCAAGAAATGGATGTAGCCGGCTTTAACTGTGCAAAAGCATTCCTGGCCCTCATGAAAACCTGAGCATCCAGGCTCAGAACAGAGTTGCAGAAATATACCCAAGCTGTGGACCTGAGTCTTCAGGGGGAGTGTAACCCTGTCAAGCACTGATTGCATCCCTATTCTCCGATTTGCCTTCCGTTTGACTAGGAGCACCCCTGTCTTATCTGGATTAAGTTTCAGTTTGTTGCCTTCAACCAGCTCAGCAGATGTTCAGGGACTCTATTCTGCAAGAGGAAATTCTGGAAAAAATTGTTCCTGAAATGTACTATACGTGTAAAGATATTGAACATTTACCATCCTGTTGGGCATCTTTTCCCCTATGTGCGACTGCATAAGTGCCTGGGGGTTAAGGCTGTTTTTTCATGTTGGCAAAATATACAGAAGGAAACATTAAATGCTTTGGATACCACCTTTTCCATAGTCAGAGCTCTGAAGCAGGCATCTTTCTCTGCCAGATGAAATCTCTTGTGTACTCCAATGCTGTGTTTGCAGCTTCAAGTCCTCTCTGCCCATCTCTTTTCCTAGCCAAAAAAAAAAACAAAACGAATTCCTGATCCTGAAAGCCTCCAGGAGCAGCAATTCAGCATTTAAATAGGACTCTGGCCTCATCTTGCCTGGTTAACACATTATCAATTTTTTCAAAAAAACTAAACCTTGCTTTCTAGCCACTTCGGGGTTGTTGTTCTTGTGAGGTGGGGAGGATATTTCTGCAGTCTGTGAGTCACTCGGAAGATTGTAGTGGGAGAAATTTTGTCTCCCCACCTGCTGAAGTTGCTCACCTCTGCTTTAGAGGAAGAAGCTGAGGATTGAGCTTGAGGTCATCTGCCCCCAAAGCATAAGCACTACATATGCAAGGCATATCATGGCTTGCTCTCCCCCATGTGTGGACGGTGAGCAGTCTTGTAGTTTAAGGAACCTCAGCAGTTGTTTGTGGATGATCTAGGACGCAAAAAAAAAAAAAACACCCCACGCTCTGCGGTGTGTCTCTTACAAGAGCAGCATCTTTTTCCACTTGAGGCAATTGAAGTCTCTGTCATTGTTTAGTTGAGCTGGCATGGTGCTAGCCAGGGACGTTCTGCCTATACAGAAAGGAAACTGCCAGCAAGTATAAAAGTGTACAGTCCAGCTTAGAGGAGGAGAAAGCCTAGTTTTATCTCCTTGATTGCAAGAGCTGTGTGGAAGATATCTGACTCGGTTCTTATTTGCAGCTCGTTTACGTCGATGTGATGGCCTCTGACATATAACACATCAGCCCTGGAACTGGAAGGTGTATAAGTATAGCTTCCCCTCTTCCACTTGGCAATCCTCCCTCCCGCCTTCCCCCCCCCACCTTTCTGGGCTTCCACAGGCTATTGCCTTTCTCCTGTTCCACTTGGTTTTGACTGTCTCTCTCTCTCTCTCGGCTTCTGTCCGTGGCTTCACCACAGATGTTTTCTATTCTTTAGAAAAATAATTTCGGTTCCCACGTTGGAAGAAAAAAAAATCTCTTGGCTTTATTTTAGCTTGACTGTCAACTACACATTTATCTTTTTCTTGCTCTTTTCCTCCTGTCCGCTTATTTATTTGACTGACTGAAAACTAATTCTTTTGCAAAATGAACGGAAAAGCATATCAGGTAAAGATAGTCCATGGTTTCAAATAAGGAGAAGGTGTAATTGTAGAGGGATTCACTCGAGGGACGCAAGAGATGTAAGAACTGCCCCAGTGTAGTGCTTGGACTAAGGGGGCGGTATACAAATCGAGTAAGTAAGTGATACTCGTGTCCTTTTTTGTAAAGAAGAAACAAATGTTGAAATGTAAATAATATTCAGTTCTGGAATTGTGGACCTGTCCTGGTCAAGAAGCTCTGTGACATTCTGATAGGGCAGAGCTGGTCATGTGATAATCCCTAAGCCCTTCCCCCAGAAACTTCAACATCAAGCTTGCTCACCAGGCTGAACAACAAGAAGACTCTGCCATGTTCTTCTCATGCAACTGCTGTTACCGATGTCTTCGTTTTGCCTTTCACCCACATGCCAGTAGCTTGTTCTGCTACACACATGCAGCTGCTCATTTTGATCAAAGAATTCAGCACCAAAACTGGTGTCTGTATTTTGGGGACAGCACTTCTTCTTCATGGCCTCTGTGAATCACACCCTATGAATCACATCCTGGGTGATCTGCGCCTGCGCGGAGCCTCATCAGAAAGTTCTAGAGCTTCTGTGGTAGCAAAAAACACATTAGAATAAGGCCCCTCCCCCCTCATATAAGTACCTTGGTGCCAAGGCTCCCCTTTCAGTTTCTTTCAACCGCCGCGTTGACAGCCTCATAGTTCTGCTTCTGTGAGAAAAGAGAAAGCTTATTCTCAATTCCTTCCTTTTATCAATCTTTTTTCCTTTAAACTTTTAGATCAAATTCATTATCATCAGAGATTTTTTTTCTTTTCTACTTTGCTCAGCCTCCGGCCGCAGCACCCCCTCCCAATCATTGTTTTTTCCCCACCTCTAATTATTTTCTCCTGTTAATGCCCCCCCCCTTGGGCCCATTTAAACACTTCGTGGTCTGTGGTAACAAAATACCACTCTCTGATGGCCACGCCAAGTGTCTGTTTTGCTTGGGAGAGGCACACCAAACGTCGTCCTGCCAGCATTGTAAGAACTTCAAGCGCGGAGTCCTTCATTCTCACTTATCCAGATAAAAACTCCATCTTTCGTAACAATCCCTTCAACCAATCAAAATGGCCCAACCTCCTTGTAAGGCCACCTCACAAACCAAAGCAACGGAGAAGGCTCTTTCTGAAGCCTCGAAACAATGCCCATCGACCACACCATCCCACTCTGTCCACTTCATCTATAACTTCAAAAACCCATAAATCAAAGTGCTCGATACTGAAATCCTCAATATCGAAGCCCTCCACTAAACATCAAATGTCCACCGAAGCCTCTTCGGTTCCAGAGCCTTCTCCGACTAAAAGACCTAAACAGCATAAATCTAAAGCTGCAGTCATTTCTCAGCAGCCTCAACAAACTGCCAAATCAATCTCTATTGGTTCGGCTTCTGACAGTGACGGAATCCCCTATCATCAACCCTGCTCCCAGTCACTGGAATAGGATGACAGAGTTGATCGATTAACATCATCTCCTCTCAGTCCTCAACACTCTGTTCTTTCAAGCAACCTTTCCATAGTTGACAAGGTCGACTCCGAACAACAACTAGAGACCATACCTTATTCAGTAACATCTGATCGTCCCCAGCAGTCCCTGGAGCTGTCTGTTTCATCACACATGGCTCAGACCCGCATTCAGCACTCTCACCGGGTTGCCATTTGCCCCGACCAGTGCTCGACCGGATAAACTGCAACCACCAATCAACCAGTTGCTCTATCCAGCTTGGCCATACCTTCTCATGGCAGGCCTCGATCTCGACAGCCATCAGTGTCGAAATGGCCATATCATTGTGACCCACATCAACTCCAACCTCCTCCCTACCTGGCACCTAAAAGACCCAGGACGGTCCAGCAATTTTCTTCTACATATGAGGCTTTTTCAGCTCTAGCCTCCCAATATTTTCCCGCTAATCTAGACAAGGAAAATCATCCCTCTCACTCAGCATCTCCAGTGTCTATACTCCACTGCTTTACCAGCTTGTCAACAACCTCTGTTTTGACATCACTGAGACACAGCCTCTGATATCGATGATCTCTGGTATCCATCCTGGTCCATGGAGACTCGTTCTGTCCCTCTATCAACTCACTATTTCCATTGCCCAATAGAACCAAGTCATCGAACTTGCCATCACTATGACCATGAGTTCGACACTGACGTTCAACCATATCAAACAATGTCCATGGACACTCGGATAACATCTCTCTGTATCAAAAATCCTCGACTCCAACAAATGCCCATGGACATGCCGCCTCCATCGACATCAAGCCACAAACGTCAATACTATGACATTCAACCTATTGACACTGAAGTCAATCAACAATCCATTGACTCCCGACGCGATCCCGATTATTCCGATCATGGATCCAGATCTCAGACGCCGTCAGTATTACTTACCTCACCGGAATCCAACCTTGTCGATGCTGACCCACCATAACCAGCAGAAGACTTCCAAACTTACGCCCAACTTATGATCCATATGGCGAAGTCTCTCAACCTCCAAATCCACCATCTTTTGACAGAACCGGCCGATCATCTATACGACCCAATCTCTAAAGATACAACTACTCCAGTACACATCTAAATGCTTCCATCTTTACTCAGCACCCACCACTCAACGATCCTGGACAAAACCAGCCTCTTCCCATACCATGTCTAAACGAATTGATAACCTCTACAGAGTCCATGATCCTGGAGCTCTATTTCTTCGAAAACAACCAGCTCCAAACTCTATTTTTCTCGAAGCCTCACAATCCAGATCTTGACATCAACAAATCCTCATACCAATAAATAAAGACAGTAGAAGGATTGACTCAATGGGAAGATGGCTTTATTCATCAGCAGCATTCACCATGCGTGTCAATAACTACCAGGAAGCCATGGGTGCATATCAGCGTTTCCTTTGAGACAATATGTCAACCTTTGTTGATTCTTTACCAGAAGATAAAAAAGTACTCGCCCAAACCTTTCAACAAGGAGGTCTTTCCGTTGCCAAACAACAGATGCTTTCTGCTAGGCACATGGTAGATGCCACAGCAAAGTCAATGGCCACTTCTGTAGCCTTACGGCCTTTCTCTTGACTAAGGACAGCTGGCCTGGCTGAGGATGCCTGCGCACATATCGAAGACCTTCCATTCAACAGGTCAGGCCTCTTTAATGCTGAAACAGATGATATTTTGGAAAACATGATAAAGAAAAGATCAGCAGCTAGACATTGGGGAGTTTATCCATCTTACCAACAATGCCTCCAACAAAATCAATGAAGACGACCATACATCTCATATCAAAAATTCCAACGTGATCCTCCAAAACAGCTTATACACCCTATTTCAGAAACCAAAAAAATAAACCCCACCAACAACCCATTACTAGGTGCAATGCACGCAAGCCCAAACATCATGTTTGACACTCCCACGCCACTCCACCCATCCTGTCCTCTGGACACACCTACCTGTCTGGGAATCCATCACTGCAGATGCCTAGGTACTGCCCATCATCTGCAACAACTACCGCATCCATTTCTTCCAACATCCTCTGGCAACACACGTCATCACTCTACCATCTCCAACCCTACAAGAGGAAATAAGAAATCTACTCCTCAAAGACGCCATACAACCCATCTCACAACATAACAAAGGGGATTTTTCTCACTATTTCACCGTAACCAAAAAGGACGGAGGTCTTCAGCCTATCTTGTACCTATGAGAGATAAACAAATACATCATTACCACAAAATTTCGTATGGTTACCCTTGAATCAGGTCTCCCTTTACTCCGCGAAAATGACTGGTTCACGGGCATAGATCTCAAAGACACGTACTTACATATTTCCATACATCTTTCACACAGAAAATTCCTTCAATTTCAGCTAGGATCACAAGCCTACCAATTCAAAAGGCTTCCTTTCAGCCTTGCTACAGCTCCAAAGGTATTCACCAAGTACATGGCACCAGTAGCTACTTACCTCAGGTTGCAAAAAATTCTCATATTTCCATATATCGATGATTGGCTCGTTGTAGCTCATTCCTGTCGCAAGGCCCAACGGGACACTCACTTCACCCTTACCCTCCTTCGTGATCTCGGTCTCACCGTCAACAAACAAAAATCAAATTTGAAACCCACAAAGATTATTCATTATATAGTCGCATGCATAGATTCCACACAAGCTCGTTCCTTTCTTCCTTCAGACAAGAGAGAAAATCTCGTCACATTACTTCCAAGTGTTCACCCTAGAGAAAATCTCATCACATTACTTCCAAGTGTTCACCCCTCATGCTATGGTGCCTGCCTTGACTGTGCAATGTGTACTAGGCACCATGGCCTCTATGATTTCAGTAGTGCAGCACGTACGTCTCAAGATGAGATCTCTTCAGTTGTGGTTTCTCGCCTTCTTCACCCCCCTCCCAGACCCTCCTCACAGTCTTTTAAGGGTCACCCCAGAACTTGCCTCCCAACTTCAGTGGTGGCGTTTTCCTTCCAACCTATCAGTCAGGCGGCCGTTTCGACAACCACAACACAAATACAGGTCGCCACCAACACCAGCCTCACAGGCTGGGGAGCTCACTGTAAATCTCTCAAAATCCATGCTGAGTGGTCTTGCAGAGAGAAATTGCTTCACACCAATGAATTAGAGCTGTTGGTGGTTATAACATCTTGCAAAGCTTTCAGAAATCTCGCTGGCAAGATGGTACAAATTGGCACCAACAACACCACGGCGATGTACTATATTCGGAAACAAGGAATCTCCTCTATTTAGCAGTCAACCTCTGGGAGTGGTGCCTAGCAAATCATATCTGCCTCACGGCTTTACACATTGCCGGCGACAACAATGACTTGGCCAATCTACTCAGCCACACTAACTCTCAAGCTCACGAAGGGAGTTAGACCAGTTTTTCTTTGCCTATGCGAACGATGGGGCAAACCAACTCTCGACCTGTTCACCTCCCGTATGAATTGCAAGTGCAAACAATACTGCTCCCGAGCCGACATTGGAAAACACTCCCAACGAGATGCATTTGTCAGCTGATGGCCCAAGACCCTCACTTACCTTTTTCCGCCGTTCCTGCTTCTCCACAAGGTCATGGTTCACCTACAACAAGACAAACCTGATGCCATCATTATTGTCCCTTGGTGGCCAAGACAACCCTAGTTTCCAGTCCTTCACAATCTCTCATCAGACATTCACCACCTCCCTCGCCTACCCTACCTCCACCCGGCCCTACCTGGATTCCGCCTTGTTAATGAACGTCCTCCATCAATCAAAGAAGCCCTCCACTAGAAAGACCTGCCTGTATAAATGGAACAGATTCAAATCTTTCACTGAAGCTTCTTCATTGCCTTCTATCAACCCATCACTTGCTACTGTTCTACGTTTTTTGCTTCATCTCAAGTCTAGCAGCCTTTCCCTCTCTTCCTTGAGAGTTTATCTCTCCACCATAGTTTCTTATCAGCCCACTGAGTCTCTGGCAGCTGATTTCTTCAAGCATCCAACACTGAAAAGTTTTCTTAAAGGTCTATCTCATATCTACCCAGATACCCACCCGCCTTCCCTGCAGTGGTCACTAACACTAGTACTGCAACAACTTACTAAAGCTCAATTCGAGCCTTTAGCTTCAACTGATTTACGGCTACTTACCTTTAAAACTGTTTTCCTCGTCGCCATCACCTCAGCTCGACGAGCTAGTGATTTAGGGGCCTTACGTCACAACTGTCCTTATTTAGCCATGTATTTTCCAGACAAAGTCAAACTATCCATGGATATTTCTTTCCTCCCCAAAGTCGTATCTCAATTCCATCTCTCTCAGCCGTTTATCCTTCCTTCCTTCTTCCAGTCAACATCCACAACTCAAGAAAGAATCCTCCATACTTTAGATGTTAGGCGAGCCCTTGCCTTTTACATCCAGTGCACCCAACCTTTCAGGCGTTCACCTCGACTTTTCATAAGTCACCAACCACCTACTAAAGGTCTCCAGGTGACGTCTCAAACTATATCTATATGGGCCACTCCAACCATTCACCTCACGTATCAGCTGACACACAAACCAGTCCTGAAGGTGATTTGCCCTCACTCCACCACAGCAGTGGCGATCTCTATGGCATCCCTATGCGGCATACCTCTTCCAGACGTCTGCTCCTCTGCCACCTGGGCACAGCTGTCCACCTTCATCCAGCATTATAGACTTGATCTCCGGCAAAAGTCTAATGCGGCCTTTGGACATGCTGTTCTAGCCTCTGCCTCGGCGTGACACCCTGCCTCCGGGTAAGACAGCTTTTTAGTCACCCAGGGTGTGATTCACAGAAGCCATTTTGGGTCTTCCGGTGGCCATTTTGGAACCGCTGATCAGCTGTTCCCTCGACATCGCAATGCGAAGATCGGTAAGCGAAACGCTTGCCGATCATCGCAAAGCGAATTTTGCCCATTGGAACCATCGGTATGCGATCGCATTAGCGATCCCAAAAAACGGATCACTATGCGAATTCGTCGTTAAACGGTGCGCTTCTTATGCGAGGCACTACTGTATCTGAAATTTCCAGCCAAGTAGTGAATTGTGTCTTTGGCAGTTTTACACCCGATACATGTCATAATTTTATGAATATAGTTTAGGGCTCAGTGAAGTATCCTAGCTATCTATTTACAATTTAAGATTGAATGTTTGCATTTAATAGGCTTCATTCAACCAGAACAGCTTTCTCCCATATAACCAAGGCTATTGTTCCACAATGTGAGATTGTTATCAGGATATGAATTATTTTGTAGGGGAGGGATGACTGGGGACACAGAGCACTTAAAGCAGGTTGGAGTCCAGGTATTATTATTATTATTATTATTTGTTCATCTGGTTCCAGTGGACATACTGGGCATGCCCCACTACAGATGTAGGCTGAATGTCTGAACATACTTACACAGGAGAAAGCCATTCCTAAATTTAAGGGGGGTTATTTCTGAGCAGACATGAGCATGACCATAGTGTGAAAACAAATTTGCCATCTTCCCTGAACTCCTGGGAATGGAAATTTGGTGCTAAGTAGGGAAGCTTAGCAAGTAAAATTCTTAGCATTGGATGGTACGATGCAGGAAACACACTGGTAATTTATGCTGTGTATAGAACTTCTATAAACCATCTGTTTATATGGAGTAGAGATGTGGGTATTCGTATTCATATACGAATATCCCTATACAGGTGGACATAACGAGGGTCCAGCCGCATAGGGCTGGATGATCCACTCACCATTTCATCGCTGCCGCCACGGAGCCTTCCAATGGCTCCGAAGATCATTTTCAGTGAGCCACTCTTCGATCTATCAGTCTTGTCATCCCGCCTTCTGCCAGGAGTGGCGAGTCGAACGCAACCTTCGGAGCCATTGGCGCCCGCAGCAGCAGCGGATCAGTGAGTGGGCCGTCTGGCCCCATGGGGTTGGACCGTCATTATGTCCAGCTGTGCGGGGGTATTCATATACTAATACCCCCCTCTCTAATATGGAGTCTTGCTTGAAATCCTATTTTCAAAAACTTCAACCTGATTTAGATAAGTTTGTTTTCGTAAGAAATTAGCAAGTTTATTATCCCAGATTTAATACTTCAGGCTACTCTGTCTTTGGTGTTAAGTGTTTGTAACTCTCAGTGAACAGATAGCAACGTACTTTTACTTGAACTGATTTTTTTTTCCTGCTTTTTCAGTGAGGAAGAGGAGGCTTGCAGACATGAATGGGCCCATCTTTCCCAAGTGCCGGACTGGGGTGTAGTTCTTTGTTGCGGAAATAGTGTCGGCGAGCTTGCACTGGACTGTGAAGTGGCAGAGCAACTGTGCAGTGAATTTGTGGTGCCTGTTTTTTCATATGACATCCTTATGCACTGAAAAGTCGAAACTAAATAGTGATGTAGGCAGAGATCTTTATTATCAGTGTGTGGATGATCCCCTTTTTTTAAAAGAGCAAGAGAGAGGAACACATAGCCTCCACCCCCCCCCCCCCCACCCTGATGTGGCTGGATTGCAACTCCCACCAGTCTTAGCCAGCCTGGCTTATGGTGAGGAATGTCGGTAGCTGCAGTCCCCAAGCATTTAGAAGAGCTCACGTTTCCCATCCCTATTTTAGAATAATCTGGAATTTGAGCCTGTTAATAAGGTACATATGCTGGATTTTGGCAAGATACACTGTAGCAAAAAAATGGCTTAAATTTATAATTAGTCTGCAGCCTAATTTCAGTCTGGATTTTTTGTGTGCATGGTGTGTGGTGTGATACGCATGAGTAGTTAACAATAACAACAAGATGCAAGTACTACTCTGTACATGTAGCAGAAATGTTAAAAAAATAATTTATTGTTTGTCTTGATCACAAGAATTAGAAACTCCTAGTCTGACAGCACTTCCATTGTCCTAATGTACATCATTAATTTAAGGACTTGTGAATTTCAATCAGCTAGCAACATCCACAGCCCCACCTTGTAAACTAGTTGTAAGAGCAGAGTATCTGTTATTTTTAAAGCATCTGCACACTCACCCAGCAGAAAGAATTTTTAAGGCCACTTGTTTCCTAAGCAATAGTTACAAGAAGGAAAACAAAAACAGCTGCTGAATGGGATGTTAACAGTTCCACCGCCCTCCCCCCCTCAGAGTTTAAGACCCATAAAAAGTGAATTTGCACATGCTGTTCTCTTAAGCCTTCTGATAGTATGCAGCAGTTTCTAGCCATTCTTCTGGATGACTGGCTGCTTTATTTCTTTGTTACACTTAGCCAAGTTTCAAGACTTGTCCTCACCACTGTTTCAGATTTCTGAATGGGCAAGCTGCTTGGGACAGTCCCCTTGATCAACTACAGAATGCTACACATGATTTTTTTACCTGCACCAAGTGAATGGGGCACAGCATTAATGTCTGGCTGGGAGCAACCACTGGACCCCACCACCACCACTAATGGTTTGGAGACTAGATGCTCTCAAGGTGCACAACCCTTCCCCCATATACTTTTCTGCAAAGACCTCTGCACATTGCAGGGGGTTGTGCAGAGGCATGATCTTGGCTGGGAAATTTGGAGGCAGCATTGCAAACTATAGGCTCCATTCTTCCTAGGTGCCAATATGAATTCTTTGCTATCCTGACAGTCATGCTCGAAGGAAGCATCTGCCTGAAGGCAAAAATCCCTTTCCCCACATTGAGAGCGTCCATAGCCTGCCCTTCCCATAAATAGTGGGGGACAGAGTGCCAATAAATGTGGAATATGGATTATGTGGCAAGGTTAAGAAATCTGCATACACATTAATGGCACTATTAGACCCGTAGAGCTTGGCTTATAGCCAGTAGATGCAGTCCACTGGCTGAAATCTTATTGCTTCATGTGGTAAGTCACACTAGAGAAAACCCATTGAATCAGTAGGGATTTGGTGAGTCAACTTCTCCATAAACTCTACTGATTCAGCAGGCCTACCTTAGTTATGACTTACATAAGTTGCAACAAGAGTAGGCCTACTTGAATCCATGGAAATTACAGAGGCATTGACTCTCCAAATGCCCAATGATTCAGTGGACCACTTCTAGTGCTAAGCAACAGGATTTCAGCCATTAAGTGCTTATTGCTAGGCAACAGATCTATACATGGTATAAAACCTGTGCAATTTGTTTCAGTGAATAGAGACTGCACTGATGCCTGGTGGGTTGACCCCTGCCTCCTACTACTGTGTTGTTTGTAAACGATGCCTTAATAAAGTACCACTTTTAAGAACTTGACTGAAGCGTGTGGTTTTCTGACCTCTGCATTCAGTCATGTCACTCTAGCTAATGTGCCGCTGAAGTAGCTGCTGATAAAACATTCTTCCCATTTTTACATTTAGAAATCTAAAGTTTTGCATGCAATTGCAGAGTCACCAGTCAGTTTTATATCTATACATATAAACTGATGTGCGTAGATTATATATCTGCATTATTTCCCCCTATTTTGCCTACATTTTGAAGAGTTCTCAGAGGTATATTGTGGCTAAATTCACTGGCCATCAAAAAACAGGGAAATTTTGTTAAATTTCTGAACAGCCTCTCATCTAATCCAGGGTTGTGCAAACTTTGTTCCACCACAAATAAAAATTTTGGACCAAGGACAGTTGGACTCTGCAACATATATAAATCAGGCAACAATAAGCCTTATTTCTTTTGTGTCATTTATTGCGTAGTTCTTACTATCTTAGATCATTCTGTTTCTGCCTTAAGACAGAGGTGTAGCAAAGGGGCAAAGAATGAAGCAGGATTGTGAAGCCCTAGCAGCAGCCACTGGGGATCCTATTTAGCAATCTGTGTCTGCCACTGGAAATGGGAAAGTACAGCCTTTAGTCTCATATGCAACTGCAGTTAGCAAGGGACAGCTGTGTTGCTTTGCAAGAGGTGGCATGCCTTTGAATTATTACCTTCTGAATTTCAACACACATATACACGCACACAGTGTACAGGACTGTAGAGGAAAAAATACATCATGAGCATAGCCTGTCAGATTTAATTGCCATGCTTACCCATTATTTAGTCATTAAACAAAAATTGAGAGAGGTGACTTAACAGTGGCTGCATGGGTATTTTGTAGCTCAAAGATGTGCAGTGGTAACAGTCTGAATGCACTGATGCCACACCCCCAAGGATCTACACATTTTTGGTTGGCAACAGAAGCCACTTTAGGCTTTTGCCCTTCTCCAAAGGGCAAGGGTGAACCTAGTGTGTGATGCAATGCCAAACATGGGATGCATTTTAAGGGCCAGCATCTCTGAGGACAAACTCTTATTTTTAGCTGTGTGCATGTGTATTGCAGGAGGGTGGGTGAGAAGGGTCAGCCCTGCTGTAGCGAGTGACCTCATGTTGTCCTGAGCCTGCAGCAGGGTGGTGAGTCCTCCCAGCATATAGAAATGTACTTGCTCTTGATGAGCGAAGGAGATTTGTTAACTTCTCACATCATGAACTCTGGAAAAACCGAGTTCTACACATTATCAGCCAGTTGGAAACAAAATAAAAAGCAGAAGGGGCAGAGGGGAGCTAGCTAATAAATAGTTGAAACTATTTTCATCTCAACAAGAAAACACACATTGTCCAGTCTGGAAAAAAAAGAGAAAGGGGCTTGAGAGAGGATTTGCATCCCCATTGTGTCTTCTATTTCACTTTCACCTCTGCTCAAACAACAGTAGCAGAGTTTTGAAGCGGAATAAAAAAACTGCCAAACCAAACTATATACCACAAACAATGGGGTCTTCTTGCAAAGCCCTTCTGCTCTCTGAGGAAGAAATTATCATTGATTTTAAGGCACAGATCCTCACCCTTATAACTGTTTTTTTGCAAGACAAGAAACTGTGACTTAGCTTACCTGCCATAGATCACAAAATCCCTTTCACTGCTCAAGAGTATTGCTATTTGTATGCATATATTTGCAGTTAAGATGAGTAACAAGGGGCCCCTGAGGATGCTACCTCTCCCTTGCCTGATAACCCAGAGCAAAAGATGGGAAGGAAATGCAGTGCCATCTCTGCTATTAAAAGCTCCTACCAGATGCAAGGGTACTTTCAACCATTTGATACCTTTCTTAAAATGGCTCTCCAGGAAATGTAGCTGTTGACTAGGCATACAGAGTATATTCCAGATTTCTGCTTTTGAAAACATTTTAAAATCTGGAAAATGTTCATTTAAGGTATTTTAAGCTTGTTTCCTGGCTGCCTTATAAAACTATGGTCATTGAGCACTTAACATGGTACCCTTGACTACAGAAAGCACACTGTACAGATTCAGTCTGCCTTTATAGTGGCCTGTGGTTTCTCAGTTTGCATATATGTCTACCTGCACTTCTTGCACTTTTTCCATTCTGGAAACTCATTTATGGTAACGCATTGCTTTGTTGCACTGCACTTTTGCCCCCGCTTTGATGTGTAGAGTAGTGATACTTGCTCTTTGGACTCTGGGTCACAGTGTAAGTGGAGAAGTGATCATCTCACTCAAGGAACTCTTCTGTAGCACCATGGAAGTCCTATATGCTTTGCACACAGCAGTCATTGACTTTTAAGAGGAAGTCAGCATTGCAGTGAAGCCCTGACTACAGCCTGAACTGGAGGTCTGCTAAGCTGTCTACTGGAACTAGTTGCCCCAAATGCCACTGCAGTGTATCTAGCAACTGCCCTCCGTCCCGCAAGCAAATGTCCACAAACGGAGACTCTTGCTCCCTGGCTCTCCGTTAAACACGTTCCACTGGTACTTGCCGCCGTGTGCTTGTGCACTCACACTCTTCCTTGAAGGCTTGCCTGGAAGGAGTTGTAGCCAAGGCAAGGCCTTTCTCCTGGCACAGGGGGCAGCAGGCTGTGAATCCTTTCAGCTGGCACTTTGAGCATGTCAAGACGAGCTGGCGGCAAGGCTCAGTGGAGCACAGTCGGTACTGGTCCCAGAGTGTCCCACAGTAACGGCAAGCTGGGAAGACAAGAAAAAGGCTAAACCTCCTGCAGGCAACCAGTTTGTTTATTTATAATTTATTCGTTACATTTATACATTTATCACCTTTCTTCCAGTGAGCTCCAAGTACAGTGGTGCCTTGCATTACGACGTTAATTCGTTCCAGCGAAATCACTGTAGAATGAAAACGTCATAATGCGAAATTTAAAAGCCCATAGAAACGCATTAAAACCCAATTAATGCGTTCCTAGGGGCTTGAAACTCACCGTCCAGCGAAGATCCTCCATAGCGCGGCCATTTTCGCTGCCTGTGCAGTGAGGAATCCGTCCCAGAAAAGAGTGGGGAGACATGTTTTTTTACCCGGCAGCCATTTTGAAACCGCCGATCAGCTGGCCAAAAATCATTGCTTTGGAGAATCGGTTCCCAAAGCAGGGTACGGATCATCGCAAAGTGAAATTCCCCCATAGGAAACATCGTTTTGCGATCACTTTCGCGATCACAAAATCTTCAACGTAAAGTGATTTCGTCGTAAAATGGAACGCTCATAATGCGAGGCACCACTGTAGTTTTTGTGGTTTTCTTTTTCCCCATTTTATCCTCCTGACAGCAGTAGGAAGTAGGACATATTGAGAGGGAGAACTGGCCCGAGGTCACTCAGTAAGTTTCTGAGTCCTGGTCTAATGATCTGACTCTTGACACCCCGCTAGCTGTCTTATTTGTGGTTCCTATCGCTCTTGCCCTAGTGGCACATAGACCCACAGACGTAGATGATAAGCTGGCTGCTCATCTTTCACATTACATTGAACTATAGGGGCTCCACAGAGGAAAGATCTCTCACTGCTTCTAAGCAGCCTTCCCAATGGAGTACATTCCACATGTGTTAAGATTTCACTTCCATTATACATGCACAAGACAGTAAAGGAACACCACACAATCACACAGTTGTTGTGTTAGAATGTAGCAATGACTCCGGTGTGTACCACAAAGAGCAAGTGTGATGTTGCGGATAAAGTGTCAGACTGGGATTCAGGAGACATACATAAAAATCGTTGCTCGACCATGGAAACTTGTGGGGGTGGCAACAGCAAACCCCTCCCTGTGAAAGCAGTGGAAAGCACAGCACAGAAGGCACGTCCCGCTACACCTGTAGTGACTCCCAAACCAAAGCTAAAATCAGTGTCATTCTCTTCTCCCCCAGAACAGACCGCTTCAGCACCAAGGCAGGTAGCAGCTGCCCAGGAATCAGCAATGGGGTCATATTCTGACCTTAGGGCTGAACTGAAGTGCTTTTCACACACAGGTGCTGGAGAGCCAGAGCGTGAACAATAGGGGTGCCTTGGCCAGTGCAGCCCCTGTGACTGGAAACGGACCTTGCTCATGCCGCTACAAGCACATTACAGTACATATATTGGGTAGACGGTGCATATTTAGAAAACAGGAGACCAGAGAACAAACTGCTATTGACACTTGTAGATTCAGGTGCAGAATGCATATTAATCAAAGAAAATCCTGGTGATATCCCCGTGAATGATCTCATACCTCTGGCTGGGTTTGCAGGGAGTGAACATCCCTGAACATCTCATGTGCCTTGCAAACCTTATTAGGGTGACTATATGCCATCAGCAACCTAACAACATCAATGAAGCAGTGAACGTATACATCTAAAAACAGAATGGCTCAGATCCCTGATATATGTGCCCACAACCATGGGCTGCATTGTCAAGACAACCCGGAAATTACGGTGAAATACTGGTGGTCACCAAGAGTACAGTTCATGAGCCACTAGCCCGGAGAGTCCCAATACCAAATGTTCTGCACAGCCCCTCAGGAAGGGAGGATGACCTACCTGAAATCACATCACCATTGGAGGAGATGGTATAACGTTCATCAAAGACAAAGAGCTTCCCTCGGTAGAACCCATCTGGAAATTCTTCCAGGTATTTGTGGATGCCACCCTTCAGATGGTACACTCCTTTGCACACCCCCTGTGTTAAAACAACCACAAATCACCCATACATCTAGGGATATCTGACGTCCTGGTAAGGAGTTCTACAGCCTACAGCCTCCTTGGCTATGATTACTGACTGACTGTGCAGATTCTGCCCATTTGGAGACTGTACATTTAAAGTTATGTAGGCTACACATATGACTGAGTGAAGAGAAACACAAAACAGTGCAGATCAGACTGTCTGGAGACAGCCAGCAGGAAAAGAAAAGTTGAGACTTGACCATCTAGGGAGAGACAGCAGAAAAACCTTGAATTGTTTAGAGACAGCCGAAAAGTTAATATATGACTGTCTAGAGAGCAATGTCAAACAGAGCAGAGTTGAAGGAAGTTAGTAGTCTGCAGTAGAGTTTATGAAGAAATACATTTAGATTTTAGCTTTTACTCTTACCACATAGCCAGGAACCTACCTTTCCCTTCATATTCTTTACCTCTGGCCCTTAAATAAAAATTTCAAGCAAATTTTTCCTTGAACCAATCTCTTCTCATTATTTGATTTATATGGCAGGAAAAATAGGGAACCCACACTATTACTGCAGGAAAATAAACTCATGCCACACAAAGTTACATTTTACCACCAGCAGGATTTTAGGTACTAAAAAGGTGCAAAGGGTGCTTGAATAGTGCCTATGACAGCCTGAGGAGTGTGTAACACAGCTAGCGTACAAAAATTAATGAAAAAGTTAGAATCTTCTTGGTTCAGAGCATCGCATTGACATTTTGCTTATTTTCAAAAGTAGAAAAGAAATAATTCAGGCTGTTGTATTTTTCAAATGGAGGCTGATGTGAGAGAGTTTGGTTTTTATGCCAGATCGTGAGCAGATCACCAGACAGCGGTTATAACAGAAGATCCAAAGGAGGAATATCCCTGAAGATGCTAGGCCATTTCCTCTAAGCCTAATGAACTATCTTGGGAGGACAGAATTAATCCCTAAACCTTAAAGAACCTTAGCTCTGAGGGAGGTTTGCCAAATCGCAGGCAAACACAGGAAATAACAGCCTGGTCTATTTTGCTGCAGGCTTCACCTCTTGCTAATGATCATTTTGTTTTAAGTATCCATTTAATAATACTCATATATGAGACAGTTTAGAAGAATTTCCAGCATCTCAAGGGAATTCAGGAGGGTGAAAAGTACTGGTGCCCTTTATAGCTGCTTGGCCCTCCACAGAAATACCACCGGCTGAACGACTGAAGCAGCGAAAGCAACATTTCTTCAATCATGCTGATGGAAGAACCCAGCTTTTTTTTTAATGTACAATTTGGGATCAGAAGAAATCATTGCCAGTTGTGCATCGTTCCATGCACGCAATATTGTTTGTGCAACTGGGTCTTAGATACGACCGTTTTAAGATCCCCCCCAAAAAAACATTGCTTTTTGCATGTTAAAAGGTACACTAGTGTAAATCTTCCACAGGATACTAGCCATAGTATTTCAATTATGCCTTTTCCATTCTTTCTAAGCCATTATTATTTAAAGTACGCAGTGTAAGCTATTTTCTATCTATGCTTGTCCTTGTTCTCTTTTTTAAAAGACTTTTGAAGCTGTAAAGCAAACCAGCAAAGCTACCAATGTCTTACAAGGATGTTGCCTATTCCACAGCACAAAGACTCTCCTAAGTCAATTCCCCTCAGGAAGCTCACCTTGGACATGAGGTAGGCTGAGGCCCGCTCGCAACGGATTCCACCTGTGCAGTACATCAGCACTCGTTTGCCTCTGAAAAGGTGCAAGTTCTCATCTACATAGGTGGGGAAGTAGCTGAATTTCCTGATGTCTGGAGCCAAACAGCCTTGGAAATGTCCCTGGGGCACAGGAAAGAAGACAGCAGGTTAAACCCCCGTTTCCTGCCATAGATTCAAACTGGCAGATAGCTGGTTATGCAGTTAGAGAACTTAATTTGTTTCACGTGAAATTAGCCCACCAGGAAAAAGCAAAATAATGAGAGGCATGTGACTCTGGCAAGAGGAGGGAGGCTCAGGAAGATGTAAAAGGAGAGGTATCTGGTGAGGGGGGGGGCGATACAGCAAGAGAAGTTAAAGGAGTGTGGGAGGACATTACAGATTAGGGGGAGGAAGAAGGGCTCGAGGGCTGGACTGAAGTGCCATAGTAACCTCAGGAGGAGACAACCAAAGAAGCCCTGCAGGCCACCGTTTTCCACCAGCTGCAAGATGTCATGGGCTCGGCATCACCAAAGTCAACCTCGGATGAACATCCATTCAGAGCCTCTGACCTCTGTGCAGCGGAGGAAGTGAAGGCACCAATACTTGGTTTTTGCATCTCCGCCAACTAGAGGCTGACGTTCAGGCTGCACGGCAGCAGAATCCTGGGCAGCACATTTGGGAATCTGGCCAACCACCAGGGTAGAGACGGGGAGAGGGAAGCTAACCACTCACCAAGGCAGAGATCAAAGAAAGCAGACTGTGGGATATCAGGCATCAGAGAAAGCTATCTGGCCATAACTAAGAAAAAAAAGTTCTTGTTGTGGGTGTTACGTCTGGGGATTTACTACAGTAGACCATTTAAGATTCTTTTTTGCCCATGGAAGACTTGGGGGGGGGGAAATATAGCATGAAAAAAAATTCTTCCATTCTTTATCTTGCAATACTAGAGTGGTAAACAGACATATTATTTTAAAATCCCTGGTCCTATATGCAGAAACACCAACAAACGGACACCCAAAAACTGCATATACATGTACTGGCCTCATATATATGCCTATTAGAAGGAAATCATTTTGCTTCAGACTTTCCGGGTTTCCAAAATGCCAAATCAAGGGCCACCTACTATTTTACTTTCATAGAAGTTCCTGCAGTCCAACAGAAGGGTCTCTGCTTGTCCTTTGCTACCCTGGGAGAGATATTTCTCAACTTCTATATGAAACTCCTTAGGAGTCAAATGAATTCCTGCAACGAAATAAAAATCGCTTAGTTTCCTAAAAGCAGAGCTTAGAACCACTACATTTCTGACTACCACTCCCCAAATGACCTTGCCACCATGGCCAGAAACTTTTCCAAGCTTTGCTCAAAAGGATACAAATGCTCGAATTCTGATTTCAACCACCCTTTTTCCCTTCACAAGTTTATGGAGCTGAGGATGACACCAGGAAACTGGCCCAGGTAGGACATGTTTATGCGTGCACATTAAACTCATTCACATCTGTTGATAAAAATGTATCACGTACATGCGACAAATGTATTGTGTCAAAACATGAGCACATGAGCTGGGAATGGCTGCAAATTTCTGTTATATCACACACAAAGAGTAGCAATTCTGCAGAAATGTCATGAGGACCTCCAGCCTCCCTTAGGGAGATACAAGAAGGCAGCAGCTTTGACAGCTAGAGTGTTCTAAGGACGGAGTACGTGAATAAGGGTAGTCAGTTATTCCTTGCTACATATAGATAAAAACGCAAGGGGCTGGAGCACAGAAGGCTTGCCACTTCTGTCACTCTCCTATGCATGGAAGATACTAGATCTGAACTGAAATCTCTATTATCTCCCGGGGCATTCTACATGAGAACTCAGATGTTCCCACAAAGATCACTGTGCCCCTACACACCTCTGAAGCTAGGCAATTCCATTCTCTTAAAGACCATCTTCAAGTAAGCACAAAATCTGTGTTCACTAACAGGAGGCCACTGAAATCAAACTCCTTGTGGACCAATTGCAAGCTAAAACATTCATTAGAATGGATGTTCTGGAGGTTTTGTTATTTCACTGGCCCAGTCTGGGCTATCATTCCAATTTTATGGTAGTTTACAAAGCCATGAGTGAGCACTGAAACCAAGCATGCCTCTCTTCCTCTTCCCCTCACACCTACAGCCAGCTTGAGCACAAAGATATTGGCTTATATTCCGTAAAAGCACCTTATTACACCGAGTTTGGGGAACTCTAGATTAATGCTGGTTGACAAGCTAGGAATAGAACCCAAGAAAACATCCTTAAGCATCTTATTCATCGGTTGGCATTAAGCCATAGTTTCTCAGTTCATAAGCAACAAGGAACTCTAGTTTTAAACAAATTAAAACCTTTATACAAAAGCCAGCAGAGGACCAAAACAAGGGGGAACGGTGAGGGAGTAGCATTTGGTCTCAGTCCTCATTTGAATTGTTGTCCATACTGAGCCACTGTGATTCCATTCTACCAGTCTAATCCTATTACTTGTCTACTCAAAAGTAATTACCACTTATTCTTAGAATTAGTACATACAAGATTGCAGCTTAAGCCCTATGTTCCAAGTTTATTGGCAGCTGTTGGTAGGAGTACAGAGAGAATTTTAAAAATCCAGAACATGATGGCAAAGTCCTACTGTAAGTGGTTGTGGATAATGGGTACTGCAGGTACTGCAGTCCAACACACTGTGAATTTGTCAGGAGAAAGGCTATTAGAGCCAGGAGAGCGATCACCCTCAATGAAAAGGGTTTTTCGGGCAGCACCACCAGAGCAAATGCAACCTACATGCCAGTCTTCAATTCAAGCAGACTTGCAGCTGAATCTTGACCACTCATTCCTAAGTCCCACTTTATTTAAAGGAGTTACTTCCATATAAGACTCTGAGAATTACCATGAATTTTCTTTGCAGCAGCCACTTTTTAAAATAGTCCTGACTACCTCATTCATTCATTCATTCATTCATTCATTCATTCATTCATTCATTCATTCATTCATTCATTCATTCATTCATTCATTTACAGGCCACATTTCTCCTAGTGAGGGGCGCCTTCCCATTTAGTTCCTATTCCTTGGTCTAATTTCAGACTTCAAGTGAAAGGGATCTGTCCTTTCTAATCCCATAACCCTCTGGATGGGGTGGGGGAGAGAGGAAAAAAAGGAGTGCCCCTGCCAAGCTGAACATCATTCACTAACACTGTGTGCTCTCCTCAAACATATGACCCCTAAGGGAGTTAAGGTGGGGACAGGGGAGAGACATTCTATGCACCTATTTGTAAAGCCAGCAGCTAGGGTGTTTCCATACCACTTTCTTTGTAAGAGACTTCATTTGGGTTAATTCCCATGGGTACTATTTCTTCAAAGACGCCAATTCGAAGGTCTGGGAAACAATGAGCTCCTCCTTTACTTGTCTGAGGAAGGGGGAAGAAACAAACAAGAAAAAGCTACCAAAAGATATGTACTTGACACATTAGGCTAGAGAACAGACGACAGGCTGAATGAGTTTCCCCCTGCACTGTTAATGGTGGTTTAAAAGAAGGGTTACTCACTGTGGTGTGTATATCGAGCCTACATTTGCCTCATCTATCAAATAAGTTTGGAAGGAACTCACCCTAATAATATTTGGCAAATTTTTGTGTTTTCTGAAACCTGTTTGACTACTAGTAATAAGGAGGCACACAGTATCTGTTTACTTATGATACTTATCTGATGTGATTCTGCCTTAAAAACAGAAGGCTCACATAATTAAAGTGGAAAATATCAAATACAATAAAATGCAATAATTAAAGGCTCATAAGTTCACTAGTCACCAAATCAAACTAAACACATAAGCTTAAAAACAGGATAATGGAAAGTTAGGCAAGCAAAGAGTAAGTCACCTTCCAATATTGAGAGATCATCATACTTGAAGTTGTCATGGGAGCACATTCTACATATAAGACAAAACAAGTAAGGCCCTCTTTCTGATCACCAACCACTCAATTTGAACAGATAGGAAAATTTAGAGATTGTGTTTACATTATTCAAGTAGGGCATTTTGTCCTTGGCACTATGTCATCGATGAAGTCCTTGCAATATCAAATAGGTCAGGAAAGCTCCAGTCCCAGGGCCCATTCCCAAGCCCAAAAGGATTTCCCATCCCATTCACAGACCTCTTCAGCTTTATGTCTGATCACTGATCAGAGACAAGAGAGTGCTTAAAGGCAGGAAGCTGTTGCATTGAATTATGTTTTGTTTTGTTGCATGGATCTGATTAGAAAACAATTACATGAAATCAAGCTCAACTGGTCTCACTGGGAAACTATTACATGGAATTAAGCAGTGTTCTCCAACTCAGGAAGTTATGGCACTGGGCATATGCATGAGTATACATGCACAGAAGTGAGCTGTGTTTTATGTTTGTTGGGAAAATGAACAAATTGGTAGGAATTGGAAAACACCCCATCCACTTTGTTTTGGCTTTACTCACTGCTAGAATACAGCTCTCCACAACTTTTCTAAATTGGAATCCAGCTCCTGGGTTGAGAAAGGCTCTGCAGCAAGTGTTATGGTGATCAGACAATCATGTGCCATTGACAAATCTTGCTACTGGGGGAAGGGAGAAAGTACTTAAGAAAATTCTCACTACAGAATCAAGAATGGGAGTGAATTCATAATGCATCCAGCTTGCTGCTGGTGTCTCTCACCTTAAAATCATCCCTCATCAAAGTCCCTTTAAAGAGGGGGTGAGACAGCATTGCATCCATATAAAGGCTAGTTGCTATCTTGCTCCCACCAACAGTTCCATTAATTCCTTCAGAAGCTATTCGAATCTGGAAAAGCAGAAAAGTTCACTATAAGATGTGCAGTCCAGACCTAATGGATCTACTAAGAAGTAACCACTAGTGATTTCATAGAGGCTCACCCCTATGAAAGTATTCCTCAGCATTATGGCTAAACTAAAATCACACACAACTGTGAATAACTTCTGTCCCCTTGTTAAAGAGGTTGTAATTGGGAGCAGGAAAGGCAAACAAGGAGATATTCCTTAACTCTTCCCCAGGACAGGTCCTGGGAAAAACTAATACAACTTCTACGGTAGTTGATCATTTAGGTCTTTTCCAGTGGTAGTATTCCAGCTGTGGAAAGCTCCAGAGAAGCCCACTCACAATCCACATTACAATCTTTTCATGACCTTTAAAAAAAAAAAAATTAAACCTCCCAGGAACCTTATGAAAAGTTTTGGCACTCCTGCATCTTAGTTCTCTAGGTTGTCTGTTGTCATGTACTGTCAAATCACTTCCAACTGCCTATCATGGGGCAATTTCCTGGATATGCTGATCCTAATAAGGTTTCTATAATATGTGAGATGTTCAAGGACTGGTTTACCATGGCCACCATCCCCCATTAGCTTCTAGGGGGGTGGAATGGGATTTGAATCCAGTTCCTTGTCCAACACTGCCCACTACACACGCTGGCTGATAGGCACTCTGCCTCTGGCCTTCCTTAGAGAGAAACCCACTTCCCTTTGGTGTTCCACAAAGAAACTAGGAAGGTTACTTCCTTGGGCTACAACTCCCCAAATTCCCAAGCTTGGATGATGGCCCTGTTGGCTAGTGGATTGTGGGAGCTGCAGTCCTAAGCTTTCCGAGCCCCAGTTACACATGATGCTTGAACAGATATGGGACTGTCCATGATTCCAACCTGCCACCTCTGTTACAAGTGGGTGGACTCCCGGCCAGCCGTATCACAGTCCCTCTGAGACAGCTCAGCGGCTACAACTGTTCCTTGGGCAGAATATTAAGAGGCTTACCTTGCCGGTGAGATGCAGGTGTCGACATAAGGCCTTCTGCCATGCACAGAGTCCCTCAGGATCTGCCACCTCACAGTAACAATAATAAAGCAGAACTTTCCCAGCCTCACTGTTGTCGACAACACAGAAAAGAAGCTTTCATAAGAAAAGAAATGGAAGTTACTGGCCGTACAAGACTTGACCAGTTCATAGCATTCCATGCAGTGCAGAGCCTGAATCCCCCAGCCGGCAAGGGATTTAGACAGTGGGAAATGAAGTTAAAAAAACAACAACACTGATCTTCCCAAGTTCCTTGGCACTAACCTCTTGGCTCATGTTTAGGGTTTTTTTTTTAACCCCCATTCTTACCTGGTCATTTCACCAGCATCAACGTGGCTTGTGTCTGGGAGTTTGTGAAACATCTCCTGATCGTGCTGCAGGGGCTTGCTGGGTCTCAGCATTTCATCGCCAGAAACAGGACAAGTTGTAATGTTGTCATGTCCTGCCATCTGCTTTAAGATCATACATGTCTGCTGCCCCATATCTCCTGAATGCTGGATAGCTACGTGCCGGTGAATGCTAGTCAGGTCTCTGAAGGTCTGTTGGCAGCATTTCCAGGAAATGCCTCCTTGGAAAGCAGACATTGGACAGCATGTGTCAGCTGCAACTTCCTTGGCTTTAACAAAGAGCGCAAATGCCTGCAAAAATAACAAAGAAGGCTAGGTGGCAAGAAGCTTGGAAAAAGGAGGATAGAAGAACAGGAGTAACAAAAAAAAGGTGAACTGGGGTTTTCATGCTCTCTAAACAATAAGTACCTTCTGAAGCTTTGACAATATGAGTCATTAGATATACTTTGAAGGGGTTTAAACCAGGTAATAGATGCAAGCATGACCCACGAGTGTGGCCTACATAGAAGACAATATGCAACATACAACTCTGTGACACCGTATATTTAAATAAAACCTAAACGTTTATTTGGAAGCAAAATTTGTCTGATCCTGGTCCACAATCTCAAAACAGCACATACTTTGTTTCCATTCAAACTGAACCATACAGAAAACTTCCACCTGTTTGTTTGTTTTTCCCGTAGAAGAGGTGGGGAAAATATCCCTTTGCAGAGAAGTGGGACAGTGGTGTTAAACTGCTACCCTTTCCTTTTTAAATTTTTGAAGATTTATTTGCAGCAACACCCAGTAATAATTCTGGAGCTTTGTTTGATGCCTGTGAGGCAGGTCTTTCTAAGTGGGCACAATGAGTTGCTAGGAAGAAGTCTGATCTTCCTTGAAATAGGCTCAGATCAGAATCCTAACCCTCCCAAAATTAAATTCTTTTTTAAAGTCTGGTTTATGAATGTGGGATATTGTGCGCCTGTATCCATGACTCAAAAACCCAGGAAATTGCCCAATATTGCTGCATAATATCATTCCTGTGTTGCCAGCAGGAAAAGGGATGGCAAACTTTACATAGCAAAGGGCAGCCTGAAAATTGAGAACACCAATGACAGCAGTCAAGATGATCTACAGCAGTGATTCTCATGCTCGGTTTTGCCAAGGCCATAAACACAACATGAAAGAAATACTGTAGACTGAATCAGGACTGTATAGGTCACATAACAAATCTTATAAAGTGGTGCGTGAACAATTGTTTCCAGTTTCTGGCCCCTTTCAAATGTGCCAGCCACCCCCAGGGGGAGACATGCCACCCCCCAAAAATGGTTGGTCTACAGGGCACACTCTTGTGTTCACTACCATTCACAAAGTGACACCAAGCAAGGGAAAATCCCAGATAATGACTCCTTTTTTTCATCAGTTAACTACAGTGGTGCCTCATGTAGCGACGTTAATCCGTTCCAGGAAAAACATCGCTAAATGATTTAATCGCTAAGCGATTTTAAAAAACCCATAGGAACATATTAAAACGCGTTTAATACGTTCCTATGGGCTTAGAAACTAACCTTAAGCGAAATTCCTCCATAGCGGCGGCCATTTTGGGCTGCTCTAAAGTGAGGCAAAACAGCAGCTGCCATTTTGGAACTGCCGATCAGTTGTGCGAAAATGGGGGCTTTGCAATGATCGTGCGGAAGCGATCATCACAAAGCCCCCATTTTCGCACAGCTGATCGGCGGGGCTTTGCGATGATCGTTTCCCTGCGATCATCCGAAAGTCCGCATTTTCACACAGCTGATTGGCGGGGGGCTTTGGGATGATCGTGGGGAAGCGCTTCCCCGCAATCATCCCAAAAATGGGAGCTTTGCGATGATCGCTTCCCCGCGATCATCGCAAAGCGAATTTTCCCCATAGGGGCCATCACAAAGCGATCGCTCTTGCAATGCCCAAAAGTCCATCACAACGCGATTTCGTCGTAAAACGGAGTGATCGCTATGTGAGGCACCACTGTACTTCTCACCCAATACAAAGCAATTGTATTTAATTACAAGTATTTGTAACTACTTAGGTAAAGGTAAAGGTTCCCCTTGACAATTTTTGTCCAGTCATGTCCGACTCTAGGGGGCGGCGCTCATCCCGCTCTTCAAGCCATAGAGCCAGTGTTTGTCCGAAGACAATCTTTCCATGGTCACGTGGCCAGTGTGATTTAGACACGGAACGCTGCTTACCTTCCCACCGAGGTGGTCCCTATTTATCTACTAGCATTTGGATGCTTTCGAACCGCTAGGTTGGCGGGAGCTGGGACAAGCGACGGGTGCTCATTCCGGTGCGTGGATTTGATCTTACGACTGCCGGATCTTCTGACCCTGCAGCACAGGCTTCTGCGGGTTAGCCCACAGCGCCACCACGTCCCTATGTAACTACTTAGATTTGAGTATTTCAAAGCACAGTATGATAAAATAAAACATATTACTATACAAAACACAAATACATCACATAGTGTACACAACACATGCATAGAACTGGAATAAGAACATCCTGTCTGCATCACCTTCTTGTAATATTACTAGACAGTTACCATGTTAATAAAGAATCAAATACCTTCTTCTTTGCATATGCATACTTCTTTCTGGCATGAGCATCTAATTCAGCTTTGAGGTGGCTTCTGGCTGGTAACGGAACATGGTCTTTCAGCTCCAGGTCCGCAAATGTTAGAATGCAATGTTCTGCCCCATCATCTCCATCAGGCAGTGGTGAAATGGAGGTCATTGCTATGTCACAGCAGCTGGGCATAAGTTTTTCTCTGGGACCTAAAAAAGATGTTTCCAAAACAGGAATTTAGCAACATGCAAACCTTGGAGATCCACAATTTCGTTAATGGAAGGAGTTCCCCAACTAATTCAGACTGCAGCTATTTCCTGCCACTGTTGAGTCTATAGCTGCTGTGGACAACATCATCAGGTGGCTCTGATGTTGAGTAACACTGCTCCTTGGACAGCAGCCCCCAGTCCATGATATGATCTAGCAGAAGTAGCAACTGGTAGAGGAGATAAGCAGTACTGTATAGGGGAAGGATGTCATTGAAAGTAAAAAGTACAAGAGGAAAGAAGCAAAAAAAAAAAAAGCAGAAACTCTACTTGAAAGATGGGTGGTGCAGGAAACAAGGCTCTCCTTGTGTTTTCTAAGCAATGTCCTCTAAATTCTTTTTTATATTGATATCTGAATTCATCTATAGAAGGTGTGTCTGTGAATTTCTGGCAATCCAATACATTTTCAGGACTGCTTTTTTTAAGCACTTCTTTGAGGACTAGAGTCCCTTGCCTCTGGCAAGCCACAACCTCTCAGAATCAGCCACTTTTCTATAATAAAGAGTAATAAAACTAGCCAGCCTGACAGGTTTTCGTGAGGATTGCTAAGACAACAGTGATGCTATATACAGTACTGTACTGGATCAGATGGAATTTGGGGACCGATGAGAAGCATCCTATAGTTATGTTATTAACGCTGAGAGAAACAAGAAGTCACTGTCCATGAACATCTGGACAGGTGTGGCAAATTGGAAGAACGCATTTGCTGTTTTTCCCGAGCCATGTTGTCACCTGCTATTCTGACCTCAAGACTGTATATGAAGGCAATGAGACCCAAGTTAGAGAATTGGTTAAAGCACAAGAGCCGAAACTCTGGTTTGGATACTCACTGGACATTTCTGCACGAGGTACTTATAAAGCAGCCTTATAAAGGCCTGGCACACCTTGACATGTATTGGACTGCAACTTCCAAAGGCCCTCTGCTACTGGGTTGTTGTCGGGATTATTGAGAACAGGGTGCATTAATCCTTTCCATACTCAATAGGTATATGACAGGAAAGCAGACAGCATGGTGTAGTGGTTAGAGCGTTGGTTGAGTAATGGGAAGACCCGTGCCCAAAGCCCCACTTGGACCAGTCCTCCTTCCTCAGCCTAACCTTACCTCACAGGGTTGTTGTGAAGAGAAAAATCAGGAGGGCCACGAACACCGTCTTGAGCTCCTTGAAGGAAAAGGGGGCTATCAATGCAACAAATACAAATACTGCGAAGAAAACCTCTCTCCAGGGGGGCACATTTTTTACACACTCTACAAGGCAGATGCGGGGGGGGGGCGCGCGCGCGCACACACACACACACAGAGCCCACACATCCCTAGCTGCTCTCGCCCCACCCCACGTGGTGCTGCTCCCCACGGCAGCACTTCACTCCCCCACCCCTCGGTGTGAAAGAGAAGCAGCGGAGGCGCCTTTTTCCGAGGGCCCAGCCTGGGTGAAATCTGGGCCGACTGAACCCACTTTTGGAGGGAGCGGCAAGCCAGGCTTTGGCCCCTTCGGCCGACTCCAGCCCTGTCGGCTTTGCCCCCACAGAATTCAGGGGGGAAGCCTCACGCCGGTTGCTTGGCTGCCTCCTGGTCATGTGCAAAGTGGGATGGCGACCGTCCCTCTTTTTCTCTGACCCCCCCCCTTCCTGCGGCGGCCCAAGCCACCCTTTTTACCTGGGCCAACTCTCTCTCCGCCGGGGCGCCCGGCACTTTCCCGGCTTCCGCAGCAGGGAGCCGAATTTGCTGACTCGCTCTGCTCAGCGAAAGCATGTCATGCCTGTCTCTCTCTCTCTCTCTCTCTCTCTCTCGATCCCTCCCCCTGTAACCCTCCACCCGGGCTCCTCCCCGGCAGCCGTTCCCTCGAGGACTTGCAATTAGCCACCTTCCCGTTTTTGTTTTGTTCGTTTCTTTTATGACGAGGATGGCTGCAGCAACCAGAAACTGCTGGGCAGTCAGTCGGACGGTTTGGAAAGTCTGATTTCTCCGATCTCCTCTTTTAACTGTTTGTATTTGACGAAGGCGTTATTATTGCTTAAACGCCTGGTAGCAGAAGCAGCCCTTTATTTCTGAATTTAAAAGCAGAGGTGTCCTCCTCTCTTATCAGTGGTGCACGTTTGGAAGTGCAAGTGGTGAACTCCAGGGTCCTCACAGTCCAAAACATAGAAGCAGCTTGACAGGTCCATATCAAACAAATCAGTTCTAGCACGTATTTTCACCTGGAGCGGGTCTTTTAAAAAGTAATTATATTAGAACTGCAGAGCTGGAGGGGTCCTTCAGGGTCATCAAGTCTAGCCCTTGCCAGGAAGGCACAGGAGGGAATCGAACTCCCAACCTCTGTCCTAAACCACTGAGCTATCCAGGAGTATGTAGTGCTTCTTGTCTACCCAAGCTTCAATCACCGTCAAATACTTTACAAAAGCAAGAGTTTGCAAAAATACACTGTTTCTGAAGAAATCTAGTTCACTCCTAGCTAATAGGAAAATTGCAGGCTAAGTTTAAGGATGGTGAAGGGGATGATATATTGTATATATGATATAATAAATAAAAAATAAATAAACGATGTAGACTTTGCTAAACAGAAGGTCCTGGGGGTTTGAGACTCAAAACCCTCTCTGTGTGACACTATTACTCTAACAACCAAAGATATTAATTTTCATGACGGGTTAAGACTTTCCGGAAGAGACGATTTCCTCTACCTCTGTATGCATTACTGTTCTGGCAGTGATGCCTAATGAGAAACAGGCAGCCACCAACCTCCAGGCTTGGATGTTTGTAGAGATGTAGTAGCAGCCAGTTCCCAAATTCTTCAACGGAAAGACAAAGACTTCCCCTTGGCAGAGGCCTACTGAATGAAGGCGAACTCAGAACAGAAGCAACAGCATGCAGAAACAAACAATGAGTAAGAGCCAGTCTGAATCAGGCCAAGGGCCTGGCTAGCTTTCTCATGAGGTCCTAACAATGGCCAACCAGATGCCTATGGGCACCCTCCAGCTAAAGAAAAAGGAAGAAAAGAGGAATCAACGGGTAATGTGTAGGAACTTGGCTAGAATTCTATTCTCTTCTATAGTTTTTTTTTTGCCTCAGTTTTGTTTTTTCCAACAAAAAAGCCAACCTATATGAGAGTGATTTACTGCAACAACAAAAAGTTAAAAAGAGAAGACTGCAAAGGAGATTGCACGAAAAGAAACGCGAAAATAGTGATTTCCCGAGGATCAACTATGTTGGTGTATTTCGGGGTGGGAGTTTTGTGCCATTTTGAAAACTAAGACCTCGTGGCGTTACGTTCCCGTGGCCTACAGTCCTACGCGTTGAAAAAAAAAAAGAAACCACCAGCCAAACGTTTCCCCTTTCCCCGCTGAGCTTCCGGTGGCAAAAATGAAATCCCCGCAACAACACCCTCGGATCGTTGTTCACGAGAGTTGTGAATTTGCACATCCTCCCTCGACCTTCTTTTGCTCCGGAAGCGCTTTCCGTGTCCCTCCCGCCGAGGTCACATGGTTGCCTGTATAGCGGGTGGCGGGGCGTCCGCCGGAAGGAGCGTGTGGGCGAACCGGAAGGAAGCCGGGCGCAGGCGCGGGCGCGCGTTCCTTGCTGTCTCTTTCTCTCTCTCTCTCTCAGTGGGCGGTTGGAGCCTCGGAGGCCTCCTCCTCCGGCGAGCGCGCGAGAGCGTCAGTTGCTCGCCTCAGGAGGCGACTTTAGTGAGGGCCGGAGGCGCCGGAGGTCCCGCCGGCGCCGCCACTCGACTCGACGGGCTTTTCCCGGCTTCTCTCCCGCCGGTGCTGCTTCCCGAGAGCGTCCGCCAACAGAGACGGGGAGTCATGTCGCGCAGGCGGCACAGCGACGAGAACGACGGTGAGCCGGAGACCGGCCAACGGGTGGGCGGCGTGGTAGTGGTGCTGGTCCGGCGGGGTCCGGGAGAGGCGGGTTGTCGTCGCTTGTGAGACACCGTGGAAAGACCTGTTCTCGCCCTCGTTTTGCTTCATAACCGCCACACGCATATGGGTCCAGAGGCATAGGAACCCTAAAGGGCAGCCCCGCCGTCTGTTTTGCTAAGTAAGGAAATGCAGTACTGTGTAGAGGAAGCTGCCTTAGACGAAGTCAGGCTTTGGGTCCGCCGAGACCAGTATTCCCAGCTCGGATTGGCAACAGTTTGGTAAAGTCTGGGGAAAAGGGTTTTCTTTGGTCTTTCACATGAGATACGACTGTTCTTTGAATCTAGAACCTTCTGTATGTAAACCAGTTAGCTGTACCTTTTCTCTGTACACTATTTCTCATGTGAATCNGGGGGGGGGGGGGACAGAGAGATTTGTACTAGTGCTCACCTAAGTAACAGCCAGATCAAGTGATTGATACTCCTTGACTCTTATCAGCCCATGTGAATCAATATCGTATTTTCTAAGAGCAGGACTAGACAGGGGGAGTTGGGGCGATCTGGTTCACATTTAAAAGGCTCTTAAGACATAAGACATAAGAAATTTATTTGTCATTGCGCTCACAAGTGGGTGCAACGAAATGAGGTGCTCTTCCCCAAGGTAAAACTGGACAACACTACAAAAAAAAACAAAACACAACTTTCACCATCCAAGTATGACCTCCGTATGATCTATTTTATCTGGCATTTGAAGGATTCTTCCATTCACAGGGAAGCCTATCATAAGGATCCAGAGAGCACTTTAAATCACTCCAATTTCTCCCCCTTTCAATTATTAACACCCTATTCCGCACCTTTTGTCTACCTTGGGCCAGGATGACTTCCTCTTTTTTTTTTTTGTTACTTTCCCTCCCAAGGAGTCAACTCTCTATCAGATACAATAGATGTATCAAAGAGCACCTCCAGTGTATCTAGAACAGCACTCCATCAGTTGATGAAATACTTGTTTTAAAAAGGTTAGAGAAGATGAAAATAGAGAAAGGGCTTACTCTGTTATCCCATTACAGCTTACCCCATACATCACAGAGAACGCCACCGGGTATTGGGGAATGGATTAGCCAACAACATGGACTGCAGAATAATTAGGAGCGTTCCCAGTCGCACAAAATAAACTGTAGCCTCAGTGCTGTTCCAGAAAGGAGTGGGATAGCTAAGGGAAATATAAATTCCTGTTACTACAAACATGTTGTCAACCCAAGATAGAGTGGACCAAGCTACAAGCTATATGCCTTTCTGTTCATCCTCTAAGTGTCAAAGACTGGGAAACTCAGGGTCAGGTCAGTGTCCTTTAAGAGTATTAGCTTTTCTTGTTTTCTTTTTAAGGGATGAGTGTAGAAAAACAGCAACAGATATGGGGGTGATAGTATTTAGTGACAGTTTATTTGGAGAGTAAGAACAGTTCTGCTTTGATGATGACTGATTTTTCTGGTATCAAACCTTAAACTTTGCACGTGTTAATAGGTGTAACTATCTCTGTATGGTGTGCAGTGTCACTAACTGGAGAATAACCCTATGCAAGTAGATACTTTAAAATATGTATTCGCGAAGGCTTTCACAGCCGGGATCTAATGGTTGTTGTGGGTTTTTCGGGCTCTTTGACCGGGTTCTGAAGGTTGTTCTTCCTGACATTTTGCCAGTCTCTGTGGCCGGCATCTTCAGAGGCCTGGAGTAGGAACTCTGTCCATGCTCTGTAGAACTGAACTGCTTACTAAAAAGCTAATCTATCTGGAAGGACTATTTGCTTCTATTAACACCTTCAAAAGCTGCTTTGGGGGGGCGCTGGGGGGCTTTCCTTAGCTTGACAAAACTGCAAAGGCTGCTCAAACCTGACTCAGCTAAAATCTAAATCAGTGGTTCTTAACCTTGGGTTATTCAGGTGTTTTTGAACTGCAACTCCCAGAAACCCCAGTCAGGACAGCTGGTGGTGAAGGCTTCTGGGAGTTGCAGTTCAAAAGCATCCGAGTAACAAAGGTTAAGAACCACTGATCTAAACAGTCTCTTCCCCAACCAAGCCTTACCTAGCTGCTTTCTTAACACAGTTCTTTATTTTCCCTCTCAGACTCTTTCTTCTAAATCTCCATCTCCCAATAGCTATAGCTTTACATTATTAGTTGACTCTGGAGGATGGAGAGTTTTATCTGTCACAAGGGTTGCAGTCTAAGGAGGGTAAAGCCAAAAAAACTCATTCCTTGTTTCAGATTCTAGGTCTGACGTTACTGTATTAAAATAAAATATATTTATGCTGTTTATCTTACGTATGCTTGTCCAGTGTGAGAGACACAGGATTTAACCATCTCATACAAAAACAAAGGAAAAATAAAGAAAAACATTGTGGCATCTTAAGGCTAACTGCTATACGGTGGTGCCTCGCAAGACAAACGCCTCGCAGGACAAAAAACTTACAGGACAAATGGTCTAGAGGACTGTAGATAGTCCTTGTGATGATTAATGTTTCTTTTTTTCAATTCAGAACTTGTAAACAGTGGCTGATATAAGGATAGTATTCCTCTATTATCTGTATCTTCAGTATAAAAAACAGCATGGACTTTTGTTAATATCTACTGTAGTTGCAAAATGTGTTTATTAACGTTTAGTGAAATTTTGTAAGAGGTTGTGGTCACCATAACTAAAGGGATGTGTTCCGGTGCCCTTGCAAAAGTTTTTTTGTGGGGAGGATGATGGTGTTAAAGTGGTACAAAAATGAAGTACAGTGGTGACCCGCATAGCGATGTTAATCCGTTCCGGATTAATCGTCCCTATGCAGAAACATCACTAAACGGAACAGAAAAAGCCAAATCTGTGGCTCCCAAACTCGCCGTTCAGCGAAGTTCCTCCATAGCGCTGCCATTTTCGCGCCCTCGGCAAGCGAGAGCAGGACGCAAAAACACTTGCGGCGGCCATTTTGGGCACCCGGCGGACATTTTGGAACCGCTGATCAGCTGTTTAAAAAAACATTGCAATGCGAAGATTGGTAAGTGAAACGCTTACCGATCATCACAATGTGATGTTTTGCCCATTCAGAACATCGCCTAAAAAAATAGATCGCTATGCGGATTCGTCGTTAAACGGTGTGCTCGTTAAGCGGGGCACCACTGTACACTGTGAACAATGTACTTCTCATTACATAGTCATGAGAATTGAGGGCACAGTTCAGGGTGGTAAACCACAGAATTATGCTGGGATGAGGTGCTGGGATGATATGTAAATAAATATAGATGCAACACTTTGGGAGTTTTATTTCGGAGTACAAAAACAGCTTGTGCTAGATTAGAAAATCTTTGTCTCTTTGAAACAGGAGGGCAGCCACATAAGAGGAGAAGAACATCTGAGTCGTCTAAAATTGAAGAGCGTCTGGAATCTTTAATATGCAAAGTGGGAGAAAAGGTACAGAGGATTCACAGCTTTGCACTGAATGTTCTTGTGTGACTATGAGTGCACATGTGTTAAAGCTAACTGAAGTGCATTTAATCAGAGTCTGTTACATGGGATAAAATCACAGTACAGGTATCAATATAATGTTGACAGAACCCCACTGTTTTGAAATTGAGTGAGAAGATCAGTTTTTCCCTTGTATTCTCCATTTTGATGGTACTATGGTCTTAACACTATTCTTTAATGCAGTGGTCCTGAATCCCCGATCCGCAGCTTGGTGCCAGTTTGTGGCCTTAGTCAGACTGGGCCGTGGAGACAGACCTCCCAACCCCACCCCCGCTCGCACTCCTCCTTGCACAGCCCCTTTGCACATGCACACACATGCCTGCGCGAGTGCTCCCCCACCCTTTCGTGCAAGCACACAAGTGTCCCGAGTGCCGTGCCACCCTTTGTGTGTGTGCACGAGAGCCCTCCTGCTCCTTCGTGCATGTGCACAAGTGCCCATGCAAGCAAGTGTTCGCACATGCGCACAAGTGCGCATGAGGGAGAGAGATTGCACCTGTTCCTATGCGCATGAGTGCGGGGGGTGCCCTGCCTTCCCCAACTGGATCCGCAGAGTCAAAAAGGTTGGGGACCACTGCCTTAATGGTAATGTAAGAACATGTCTGTATCGGTTTAACTCTGTTCAACTCCTAATATATGTATGAGCTTTATTACGGTCTCTGACCGGGAGATTTATCTAGATGTAACTGTAACACAAAAATACAATGAAAGGTAGCATAAGGTAGCAATATAATATCACATGTACACTATCTTTACAATGTAGCTAAATTAGATGGCACCTCCTTAGTTTCACTGTACTGAGTTCAGTAAATAAATTCAATAAACTTGGTACCACCTCCAGTCCCACTGTCTTAAGTAGTTCCTTCTAATAGATATGCCCCTGTTCAACAAGTTGACAACTGTATTTTACTTCAGTTGGCTCTTCTACTACCTGTCTGTCAATTTGATTTACCAGGATTTGCTAACTAGCTTCACATTTTTATTTCATTTTAAAGAAGAAATCTTGTTTTCCATCAGTGATGGTTAACATTGCTGTAGTACAGTTCTTTTTAAACATGTTTAAGGGCGATGGGCCTTTGTGCAAGAAGGGGGACAGAGTATCTAAGCATGTGGTCTGATGGTGATCTCTTAACTATGGTCCTATCTACCGTGGATCTAAGAAGAAAATGCAGATAAGGTGTCTTCTGATGGGCCTGAATTTGAAACTTATTAAATGCTTTCAGTTGGACTTTATTACTCACCTACTATCTCAGCTCTTAGTAATCATGAAATGTCAAGTTAGAGATGGGCATGAATTAAGTTGTCCCCATGGTAGGTGAATCGTCATCATACCTGCACAGGTGTTGTGTCGGCATGTTGCCCACCTCCCCTGCACACTTGCCCATTTCTTAGGTGCTTCTCTCCCTGCCCCCCCCCCCGGTGCAGCCTTTGCAGCCTGCTCTTCCATCATCATCTTCTCTCCCAGCCAACCACTCAGATGAGGAGGCAGGGCAGAGATTTCTGCCCCACTGCCTTTAAGTGGCTGGCTGACAGAGAAGATGGAAGAGCCGACTGCAAAAGGTGAGTGGTCTGTTGGGGGGCGGGGAGGGAAGCATGCATTACTCAAGGAATGGGTGAGCATGCAGGGGAGGAGGGTGCGGTGCCTGCACAACACCTGTATAGGTGCTAGTGTGACTTGCCCAGGATGCAGATGACTTAATTGATACCCATCTCTACTTGAAGCATCTTTTTAAAACAAAATTTAAACAGATTTTAGGCCTGTTTTAGGGGTACTTCCTTGTATGGTTTATATTATGTAATCATGATGTCTTGGTGCTTGCGGGCAGATAACCTCTTTTTCCATTTGTAACACTCACATTTTCCCCTACTGCTGCTTCTGCCCTTTTCCTACTATAAGGAGAAGAAGATAGAATGTCTATCTTTTGATTGGTAAAGCAGGGAGAGCTCTGTGTGGCATTATCCTTGAATCTGTAGTGCATTTTTCTTCTCATTTGCTAATGAGTCAACGACCATATTTAAGATTTTGTAAAAATATGGAGCATGTTGATAGTGATTCATGACAAGATTATATATTTTCAACTTTTGTTGCCCCCCTTAGAGTACTTTATCTTTGGAGTGTAACTTGGAAAGCTTGGCTGGGGTCTTGGAGGCAGATCTCCCAAACTACAAAAGCAAGATATTGAGAATTCTTTGTACAGTGTATGTATTGCTAAAGATTTACGGATACAGATGATATTGTATTACATATGCTAAATGCCTTTAAAGTTTTGTAAGTTGTTCACAAGGCTACATTGCATCTTTGTGTATTCTGTCTTAAATATTTGTGGGGATGAGAATTACAGAGAGGAAATTAAGAAAGTTAAATGAATACTTCATTTAAGCAGCACCTTTCTTCAGAAATGAGATGCAATTATTGTCAGTTTTTTATAGTAGATTTGCCAGACTTATTGTCCAAATGGGGAAAGAGAACTTCAGTAGTTTATTAAAATTCCACCATGTGCATCCTTATGTAATCTTTTAAGATACTTTCTTAGCAATATTGTTGCAAAGAACAGTTGTATGATAGTACAGTATTACTTCTTGGTCTGTGTCACTGCATTTTGTGTGCATGCTCTTTAGCATGATTATTGAGTTACGTACATTACAGTACAAATGCTATATTTGGACTGTTAGCTATAGTGATGAACTGAGACATAATTTGCAAATCCATGTTTACTGGGAGGTAGTAGTTGACTCCAGGTGGACTGATTCACACTTTGCTTTAGGTGCAGCACTTGAGTTCAAAATGTACACACATCCCATTTAATGGCTTAAATGTGGCATACATAAAGGTGATAATTCAGGTCACAATCATGTGTTAACATCTTATTCTGCTTTGTGTTTGTTTAATGAAAAAATCAGTGCACGTTTGCTACCATTAAAGCTCACTGTTTACACAACTCTGGTTGGCTTGCTGAATGCAAGGAACTACAATTTTGGTGGAGAGTTTGTGGAAGCCATGATACGTCAGCTCAAAGAATGTCTGAAAGTCAACATGTATAATGAAGCTCTGTATTTAGTAAGTTGTTTTAACATCTTATCACTTTTTTAAAATGTGTTTTTGCTTTCCACCACATATGAAGAGTTCACTCTTCATCTTGTGAGGTGTAATTTGGAAAACTGAATCTCTACAATCCTTTTCACACCCAACTCAAAGCCTGTTTCCTGTAATTTTACACCAGTAACCCTTCATTGTCAGTCGTGTGTCATATGTATGACAGTTTGCCACAGACAATATCCTAAGCATTTTGATGACAAATGTAATAGAAATGTAATAGAAAGATACTTGCTGGAATCCCAGCAGAATCAGTGTTTAGCTTCACATTGATGAAAGGGAGTATGTGGGAGCCTCAGAACAAAAGTTGGAAGTGCTTAATTCCCCCCGCCCCAAAATTGCCACTTGCTGATGGAAGTACAAGTTTTGGCAACAGGATTTTAGGTACTGTGAATTAAACAAGCTTTTTAAATGGATTTCATCTTGGACAGTACATGTTCTGTTTGAACCAGTACTATTGTTCTGTCGTAGTTGTTCAGTTATGGTTTAGACTCTAGCATTCTCACCATATTCTGGATGGGAAGTGTGCCTGCATGTGTATATTCTATCCTACTTCACCTCCAAAGTTTCAGATTTCTGAATTGAGGGATCCTCTGCTTCAATGTGGCAGATGTCTGAACATGTGAGAGCTGCTGTTTAGCCATGCTGTGGACAAGAGAGCACATGAGTCAAACTATGCCCCAGTCTCCCAACAGGGAGAATCAAAGTCAACAAACTCAAGATTTTTGTTATTTTGTTTTTTTCCTCAGGTCCGTTTTCTGTCTGATCTTGTGAATTGTCATGTAATAGCTGCACCGTCTATGGTAGCCATGTTTGAGAATTTTGTGGCTGTGACTCAGGAAGAGGATGTACCTCAGGTAAACAAACTTTTTGCTTCATGGATGATTTGCTATGAAGAAACCTACCCTTCTCCCTTCCCACATGCACATATCTGGAGTGTTCCAACTTAATCACTATTTCTGTATCAAGACAGAAGAATTACCTAGATTTCATGCATGTCTAGGAGTGAGCTGCTTAGGATATGATCTGAAGCTACTGGAACAAAATAAGAGTCTGAAATGTGAGCTTGACTGTCATGTCAGACACAGAATATTCTTATTTTATCCTTTGGGACAAGGAAAGGGAACATGCTGTCCTTACATTGTTGCTAAACTACTATTCCCATCATTCCTAGCCTGCATAGCCAGTTGTGATGTCTAATGGGAGTTGCAGTTCAACATAGAGAAGGTCACACATTCCCTACCCTTGATCTAAAATAAGAGGGCACACATGGGCTTTGGTAGTAAAGCAAGAATAGATATCCTTTTGTCAGAACTGTAGGCTAATATCATTCGCAGAGAAGTTTCACATATCCATCTTTACCTCTAAATACAGTGGTGCCTCGCTTAGCGGTTGCTTTGTTTAACGATGTATTCGCTTTGCGATGGGTTTCTTTGAGGAATTTTCAGCATCGTTTAACGATTTTCTCTATGGGGGAATTTCACTTAACGATGTCCGTGTTTGCTCATTTTTAAGTGTCTTACAATGTTTGGAACATGTTTTAAATGCTTGGAATAGTTAGTCCACCTTGTGAACCCTATGCACACTTAGTTTGGCTTTCCTCTTGGTCTTCGTTAATTTTTGGTGATATTTTTGTTTTTTCCGTCATTGAGAAGCATTGGACGGACAGTCCAATGCTTCTCAATGAGGGAAAAAACAAAAAATCACCAAAAATTAAGGAAGACCCAGAGGAAAGTCAAACTAAGTGTGCATAGGTTTCACAAGGTGGACTACCGAATCCAAGCATTTAAAACAGGTTTCAAACATTGTAAGACACTTAAAAATGAGCGAAAACAGACATCGCAAAAAGCCATTGAAAAGCACTGAAGCCGGCTTCAGTTCTTTTGAAGCCCTTTCCGACGTCCGTTTTCGCTCATTTTTAAGTGTCTTAAAATGTTTGAAACCTGTTTTAAATGCTTGGACTCGGTAGTGCACCTTGTGAAACCTATGCACAGTTAGTTTGGCTTTGTTACAATCCAATGCTTCTCAATGAGGGAAAAAACAAAAAATCACCAAAAATTAATGAAGACTCAGAAGAAAGCCAAACTTTTTCAATGGATTTCCGTTGGGAAATTAAGACACTTAAAAATGAGCGAAAACGGATGTCGGAAAGGGTTTTCCGTTGGGAAAACATTGTTTCACTTAGCGATGTTTCCTATGGGGATTTTCGCTTAAGGATGTTAATCCGTTCCAGTTGGAATGGATTAACCGGTTTTCAATGCATTCCTATGGGAAATGGTGTTTCACTTAACGATGTTTCTCATAGCGATGGGTTTTTTGGAACCAATTAACATCGTTAAGCGAGGCATCACTGTATTGTAATTAAAAGGCCAAATGACACTAGGGTGTTGGATTTTACTTGCAGGCTGCCAATTACTGACCTCTAGATGGTCTTGCTCATGCTCGCTGACATCTCTGTACCATGGTGACAAGAGTATGTGATTAATGTCAGGTGTAAAAGCACTTGAAAAATTATGTTGAAACTGACTAGAATGAGTTTTTCTTTTTCTGTTATAGTGAATTTACAGAGTGTAGCAAAACAGAAATTTGATTAATGATCACATTGCACATGTAGTGTTTTAAAGAAAATTGAACAGTTGGTCAACCTGTTCTGTTGTATGAGAGCAGGATCTATAGTGGAGTCCTTCCCACATTCTTTTTTTACTTGTCTTAGAAATAAGGCAATCAATTACAGAAGCCTCTCTTTGAATAAATAGGAACCAGTGCTTCTATACCACATACAGGTGGAGAACATTAATTTGATACTAAGAAGTTCTGAAGGATTTAATACTGTGAGAGCCATTAGTCTCACAGAAAAGTACATATGGTATATTGTATTGTGCAGTGGTAGGAATGTGGGTTCATCCATTTTATCTCAGATAAGGCTAACAGACCTCTAAAACTTCTTTAGATTGTAAAAATAGAACTTCTTGTGTAATGTACAAGGAATTGTTCAATATCTTGATAAAAAACCATGAGAACCTGTCTTATGACACATTGACCAATAGTCCATCTAGTTCATATTCTCTCTATTAACTGATAGCAGTTCTCCGTGGTTTCACACAGAAAGCTTTTCCAGTTCTATCTGGAAATGTTAGATCTGTCACTTGAATTCAAATAACTAGTACCACAGAGTTACACCTTTCCCTTTTCTGGACAGTTGAACTTTTTTACCTTTATTGGCTTAGATCCAGAGTTTGAACAATTGATTCTAAACTCATGGAACACTCACTAGAGATGAGAGATAGAGGCAGTTTTCAATTTGGCGTGCACACTTGCTCTTGCTCTTTCTCTATCCCCTTACAAACTGCATGAGAGTACAAGGAAGTCCTCAACCTGTAGGAGGTGGAATGGCACACTGCAGGAAAAGGGAATTGTCAAAAAGCACTTAGCTTTTTGTCCTTTTCATGAAATGACGCTGAATTCCTTGAAAGATTCACATCAGAGTATAGTTACATAGACAGTATTTGGGAAAACAGATTTGTGGGAAATGCTCTGAATATGATGATTGGGGCTAATACCTGGCAGTATTGGGTATTTATCAAGTCATAGATGATTTCAAGGATCCAGAAAATACGATTATACCTTGGAGAAAAATTGGAAGTAAAATGTGATCAATGTAAGTAGTACTTAAATACATGTTTCTGTAAATAATATGATATATATATAACTGGAGAAAATTATCTGGCTTGGGCACACTGTCTTCCCTTGATTTCTTTGTGTAGAAATCTGAATATACTGTATCTTACTATATTTGTATTTGAATAGCATTTTATAGCAATAAAAAGTTCCGCCATTTTATGAATTGCATCTTGTTATATGTGCTTTTTGAAGATTTGCATTTGAAGTGTTGTATCAGAGGTTTACATTTCAAGTGTCACATTAAAGTACACTTAAGCAGTCCAAAAATTGCAAGTACAGCTTAAAATTGCATATGGATCTTCACATTGCATTCAAACCTTTTAACCCAACTTTCTCTGTATTTTTTTCTACCAAGAAATGTGTACTTTCACACAACTGTGTGTTATCACTTTTGTTTACCACAGGTGCGGTGTGACTGGTATGTGTATGCATTTCTGTCATCCTTACCTTGGGTAGGAAAGGAATTATATGAAAAGAAGGATGCTGAGATGGACCGCATTTTAACCAGTGTTGAAAATTATCTGAAGTAAGAATGAGAGAAAATCCTCTTTTCTTTATTAGATGTCCATAGAACAGAAATATATTGATTGCTTTCAGTTACTCTAAAGCTGTTTTTCAATTGTTAAAGGGAGAAAGGAAATATGTAAATAACTCAGGTTTTAACTACAGTGGTGCCCCACATAGCGACGTTAATCCGTTCCAGGAAAAACATCGCTATGCGGAAACATCGCTAAACAGAACGTAAAACCCCATAGTTCCTATTAAACTCTGTTTAATGTGTTCCTATGGGGGAAAAACTCACCGGTAAGCGAAGATTCCCCATCCGGCTGCCATTTTCGCCACCTCAGTAAGCGAGGACAGGGCATGAAAACGCTGCAGGTGGCCATTTTCTTAATCCGGCGGCCATTTTGGAACCGCCGATCAGCTGTTTCCTAACATCACAATGCGATGTTTAGCCTATTAAAACATTGCAGTGCGATCGTAAAAATAATCGCAAAATCCGCATCGCTGTGCGGATTCGTTGTTAAACGGTGTGCTCGTTAAGCGAGGCACCACTGTATAGGTTGAGTCTAGTATCACTTGTTGTTACTAGCAGAAACACTGATTTCCCAACTTGGGGCAAACTTGGCAACATGTATTTCATCCTCTTCTCTTCTTTGATTTTATCTTTACTTTCTCCTGTTTGTATTCACTATAGGTTAATGTTGCTTGTATGTAGTGAGTCACAAAAATGTACCGTATTTTTCGCTCTATAAGATGCACCCCCCAAAAAAAGAAGTGGGGGGAAGTGTGTGCGTCTTATGGAGCGAATACTGTAAACCAGCGCTCCGCAGGGCCCAGCAGAGGTGGGTGAGTGGAGCCTCGGAAGGGTCCGAGAGTGCCTTCCAGGACCCTTTGGAGGCTCCTCTCCTGCAGGGCCAGCAGGGGCGAAATCGCGACCTTCCAGGACCCTTCTGAGGCTTTCCAAGCCTCAGAAGGGTCCTGGAAGCTGGTGATCCTGCGGGGGGAGCCTCCAAAGGGTCCTGGAAGGCACTCTTGTACCCTTCGGAGGCTCCCCGCGGGCCCAGCGGGCCGAAATTGCCAGAATATTTTTTCCTGTTTTCCTCCCCTAAAAATGAGCTGCTTCTTATGGAGAGGTGTGTCTTATGGAGCGAAATATACGGTAATTTAATTTAATTTTAATTTATTAAACGTATATACCGCCCATCTAGAACATGTCTACTCTGGCCCATTGAATCAGTGGAACTTATCAAGGAGTAGAGTCACCCTACATGCAAATTGTTCTTGGATTTCAGCCATTGTTTCTGAGGCAGCACAAATGCTAAACTACATAAACCATAGTTTGAGACATAGATTTGGATCCAGAGGAGCTTTATCCTAGTGATAGATATGAAGGATCCTGATTTGCCATGAGCTTTCAGTTGCATCAGTGCACCATGCTCAATGTTGGCTAAGGGAGAGGGGGAAACTAAAGAGGAGGATGCATTCCCAGCAGGATGCGTCCCCAGCAGTGATTATTTTATTACATTACATTTGATTTTGAGTTCTGTTGAAGACATCATGAATGTCATCTTATTAAAAAGCAGATGACGTTCTGAACGTTATGTATTCCATGGGCTTTTCTATAAAGAAGAATGTCTCCTGAGTAAGAAAGAACACATGGAAGCAATCCCATCAATGTAGCCAAAACAGAACAAAGCACTTGCATGGAAATTGGAGAGAATTAGATAACTTGAAAATGCAATAAGCAACGGCCTTTTTAAGAAAGCATACTCTACCCTTTTGAAAATTGCTTCTTCCTTTGAATAAATTTGGTATTTTCCTTCATGGTGTTTTAGAGGTCAACTACCTCTCAGATATCAGTAGTAGGTAAGATGTTTGTGGATTTGTTTGTTTTTTATGTTAGACGGCGTCAGAAGATACATGTACCTATGCTACAAGTTTGGTCTGCTGATAAACCACATCCACAAGAAGAGGTAACTATAATTTAGTTTTTTGAATCTTAGTCTCACTTCCGAAGGACCATTTTGCACTAATGTTTAAACTGCTTAGAGTTACCATTAGAAATACTGATGAAAAAAATATTCTTTTATGCTTCATGGAGTTGCCATTGCTTTTCAATTGAATACGTCATGCTGGTCTCTCTCACTTTCTGAATGTAAAGATAAGAATTCACAAAAATTCTTCAGTCATCGGGGGACTATAATTCTCATCTTTCTGTCTTTCCCTCTCCTGGAATAGTTTCCAGGCATCTGTCTTCATGATAAGATGACAGAGTTGCTTCCAAAAAATGATTTTCAACAATTTTTAATTATGCTATTATTAATGGCTAGTATCCATAATGTTGTCTTGAATCTGTTGAGAACTTTGACAGATTCAGTGCAATTTTGCACTAGCTACTGTGCAATTTTGCAGTTTCCTGATGAAAGGTGCCTCTTTTTCAGAAGTGACTTTCAGGTTTGTGGTATTGGCAGCAACTGTCTTAAAATATAGATCAATTGTTTAGTCCTTTAGATCCTGGTCAAGTGTTTATTTATTTATTTATTTAACTTATATGCTGCCCACTCTACCCAAAGGTCTCTGGGCAGCTTACAACAATTAAAATTCAATTAAAATACAATAAAAGATAAAATGATTAAAATACAATTAAAATTGCCATCAGGACCCACAGTTGATGTTATTTCAATAAAAAGCCTTCTGGAACAGGAAGGTTTTGACCTGCCGCCAAAATGTCATCAGCGTCGGCACCAGACAAATTTCAGTCGGGAGGGCATTTCATAGTCTGGGGGCAGCTGCCGAAAAGGCCCTTTGTCTACAAGCCGTCCCTCTTACCTCCTTGAGGGACGGCTCTTTCAAAAGGGCCCCCTGGCTAGATCTTAACTGCCGGGTAGGCTCATATGGAAGGAGGCGGTCCTTCAGGTATCCAGGGCCCAAGCCATTTAGGGCTTCATATGTCAAAATAAGCACTTTGAATTGGGCCCGGGCAGCAACTTGTAGCCAATGTAACTTAAACAAAATCGGCTTGATGTGTTCCCTAGCGGCCCCACCACTCACCAGCCGCACAGCTCGCCGGACTGTCTTCAAAGGCAGCCCCATGTAGAGCACATTGCAATAATCTATACGAGATGTTACCAGTGCGTGTGTAACTGTCATGAGAGTCCGCTCTTCCAGGTAGGGCCATAACTGGTAAAATTTCCGCAGCTGAAGGAAGGCGCCCCTGGCCACCGAGTCCACCTGGGCTTCCAGAGTTAGACTGGGGTCCAGGAGCATCCCCAGGCTGTGGGCCCTGTCCCTTAGGGGGAGTGTAACCCCATTCAGGGTAGGGAAATGGCACGAGGGGGCACGAGGGCATGGGAGAACCAGAAAATGAATTGTGTGGGTGACTTATTATAGACTGTGTTATCTTTTTTGGGCAGCAAAATAAAAGTTTGGAAATGATTAACAAATATTAATATTTTTAGTATTTAGATTGCCTTTGGGCTCAGGTTCAGAAGCTGAAAAAAGATCGCTGGCAAGAAAGGCATATCCCAAGGCCATACCTTGCTTTTGATAATGTGCTCTGTGAAGCACTTCATCACAACTTGCCTCCTTTTACTCCACCACCTCACACAGAAGACTCTGTTTACCCAATGCCAAGAGTTATCTTTCGGATGTTTGACTACACTGATGATCCCGAGGTAAGTGATGTGTCAGAGTAAAGTGTGATTTCAGTTTAAACCCCAAGGGATAAAAAATAACCCCCTAATTCATTGCGGGCTTCCCCACTTCCAATGAACTGTCCTAGCTATATTCGAAATGTCTTAATAGTTGTTGTACTTCCATTTTTGACTACTCTGTTGCACACACTTCCGTGTAGTGTGTGTTTTTCCAAAACTGCCAGAGATCCAAATAGCTGCTTAAGCTCATACAACGGTGCTTGTGAATGCTCAGTGGTCTTTTGCTTTTGAATCCCTCCCCTTTCCATGAATTTTCACAGATTGCTTTTTGAGATTCTTATTTTATTGCAGTAGTAGCTTTTCTTGGGAAAAGCAAAGTAAGATTTGGACTCAGTGAACTAGTTTTATGGTTCTTTGGAATTTGATTTCTATTTTAACAGTAAAGTTCACTGTGGAGCAAATGATTTATATGTACTAGAAAGACTTATAAATGCTAAACCACCATGATGGTGGTAGTGCAGCTGACATTTGTTATTTTGATGATCAAAGCTTACTTTCAGGCTAACAACATCTGCCTCTTAATTCCTGTGTCAGGGTCCTGTTATGCCTGGCAGTCATTCTGTGGAGAGGTTTGTGATAGAAGAAAATCTTCACATCATCATTAAATCACACTGGAAGGAGAGAAAGACATGGTAGGAAACCTTTCCTTTCATACAGGAAGAATCTTAGTATTATAGGAAGTCTTTTATCTTTACCTTGTCTAAGCTTATGAGTTTCTGAGGAGTTTGGCCAAAATCTATACTGTTCAGCAAACTGATCAGCAGTTTGGCTTTGGCTACTGAAGGTATTCTCAATATATAACCATATTGAGAATACCTTCAGTAGCCAAAGCCAAACTGCTGATCAGTTTTGAAAACAGTTGGTCCCTTCAGTCACCTGCAACTGTGTAAACATCAAAGGAACTCTTAACCGACATGTCCAGCTAACTTTTTAGACTGCACACAATGGATTTTTTCCCCTCATATTCAGCACAGATGGGGAAATTACATTTCATAGTACAGTGGTGCCCCGCTTGACGATGATAATCCGTTCCAGGAAAATCGGTGTTAAGCGAAATTGTCGTCAAGCAGGAAAAAAATAATTGGAATGCATTGAAAACCGGTCAATGTGTTCCAATGGGGAAATACCTCATCGTCCAGTGAAGATTGCCCATAGAGAACCGCAGATCAGCTGTTTACAAATCCTGCTTATTATTTTATAGATAGCAGTATTAAGATATTGTACCCATATATACTGCTGGGGAGTGCTATGACACATGGGTTATGTAGTGTCATCCAAGTAAACAAAGGTGCGCTTCACCAAAAACATTGTGACTTTTAAAAAGGCAGTGCAAAGTCAGGTCTTAGCTGTGGCACAGTTAAAGCGGCAGTGTAAAAGGAAACACTGATTGTTTGCCTGGGTTGGAGGCAGATATAACCTAAAAGAGGGAATCCCTGTTCACTTGTTTAAGCTGAAAGTAGGGTTTTGGAGGAGTGTTATTTGGATGGCACCATATACAAGTAGAGAAGGTATATGAGTGTTGCAGACCCATGCTTTCAGAAGCTGTTCACCTTAGGCTGACTGTCAAGAAACCACTGAAGTGCAAAAGAAGAGACTGAGCTCCCAATCAACTGCTTATAGTACCACCCCTCTTTTGTCCTATTCAGCTTTTCTTTATAGATAAATATGTAGAATCATAGCAGTCAGAAGCTTTAACCTAGTCAATCTTTTTGCAATCCTGATGGTTGCCTTCACTGTGCCATTATTAAGCTTAGGGGAAAAGTTAATATCATGAGGACAGAGGATGGATGCCTGTGATACTAGTGAGATGTGAATAGAGGAGGAGCCTGACCTACTCACTGCCACCTCCTGATGTTCTATTCCTAAGATTATGTGCCCTTTATAATAAAAAGTGACCAACCCTACTCTTCAGAGCACATGGTAACTTTTGGGAACTACAGTACATGTGTGTACTGTGAATAGTTTTTCATTTTTATTGCTGTGTTTCACCATTTAATTTTGGCACAAAATGTCAATTCAGTGCTTCTTGCATATGAGCAGTTGACTTCCACATGCATAACTAGAAGTATGACCTACATCATATTCCATCCTTCTTATTTGACCTTTTTATGCATTTTCAATTTATTTGCCTAACTTGCATCAGTCTTTTTTTTCTAGTGCAGCCCAGTTACTGAGTTATCCAGGGAATAACAAGATCCCTCTGAACTACCACATTGTTGAGGTATGGCTTTTCCTTTTGATGTTTACAAAATAACTACAGTGGGGTCTCGACTTACGAACGATCCTACTTGCGAACAATTCAACCTACAACCCCCCTCGATAGGGAAATAAGGACTCAACATACGAACTTTCCTCGAGTTACGAACAGGAAAAAAAAGTGCCCCCTCCCTCCCCTTAGAGGCTTCTGGAGGGGAAAAAAGGGTCAGAAACTTAAAAATAAATAAAACAAAGCCACTTACCAGGCCTTGGTAGCCCCCAAACTGCAGGAAAAAGAGCACCAAACAGCTAAAAGCCAACACCCAGCAGGGAGCCTGGCAGCCATTTTGTGCTCTTCTCCGCTCCTGCCCCCTCCTCTCCCCGCCTAACAGCTGATCGGCTAGCTCTGAAGAGGCTTCCGGAGGTTTGCTCAGTACCTCAAAAAGCTGAGGTGTGAGTTCCAGACTCCTGCTTGTGTGTCTTTGTGCTGAAAAAATCAGCACAACATGCTTTAAAACATGCTTTAAAATTGGCTTCGTTTTCTTGACCTAAGGGGGAAAAAAAAAGAAAAAATATCCCCCTCTAGTGGTAGAAGGCGGAATGGCAGCTTCCCATTAGTTTCTATGGACGGAAAAGAGCAGATACGGATTAAATGGTTTTCAGTGCATTCCTATGGGAAATGCAGATTCGCCCTACAAACTTTTCGACTTACACACTGCCTTCCAATATGGATTAAGTTTGTAAGTCGAGACCCCACTGTACTTCCTAAATAATAAGGAAACCTGGTGTAGTGTCTGGGGAGGGAGTAGCCATTATATATAAAAACACCCTGGAGGTTACTAGGCACTCTGAGGTGGTGAAGCCGGGTCTGGAAGCCCTCCACATGTCGATAGGGACTAGGGATGGTATTGGGATTTTGCTGGGTTACCGTGCTCCCTGCGACCCAGCCATCTCCCTACCAGAGCTGGTGAGCTTCATCTCCGCAGCTCTGTTGGAATCCCCGAGGCTTTTAGTCTTGGGGGATTTCAGCATCCATGCGGAGGCTGAGGTATCTGGTCCAGCTTTTGAGTTCTTGGAAACCATGGCTTCCTTGAACATGTCCCAACATGTTAACAGCCCCACCCACGTGGGTGGCCATATGCTAGACTTAGTTTTTTCCACCAACTGGAGCGAGAGTGATCTGATGGTGACCGACATTGTGTCAGTTCCCTTGTCATGGACGGATCACCACCTAATAAAAGCAGCCAGGCCTATAACAACTGAATGGGCTACAGCGATAATTAATGGGCCTCTCCAGGAGGACAGATTTCCCCCTGCCCTCAAGGAGATGCTCATTAGGCCCATTCGAAAGAAACTTAATTTGGCGGCGGACGATATTGACAATTATAGGCCCATTGCCAATGTTTCTTTCATGAGTAAAGTGGTTGAGAGGGTGGTGGCTGATCAGCGTCAGGCGCACTTGGATGAAACAAACGCCCTGGATCCGTTCCAGTCAAGCTTCAGGCTGCGCCATGGTACAGAAACAGCATTGGTTGCCCTGTTAGATGACCTCTTGAGGGAGGCCGATGGGAAAAACATTTCTGCTGGTCCTCCTTGATATCCCAGCTGCCTTTGATACTGTCAACCACGGTATCCTCCAGAGGGTCTCCAAGTTGGGAATCGGTGGTCAGGCGTTGGCCTGGCTCCGGTCCTTCCTGGGGGACTGTCCTCAGAGAATTCAGCTTGGGGAGCATGAGTCAGCCCCATGGAGCCTCAATTGTGGGATTCCGCAGGGTTCAACCATCTCCCCAATGCTGTTTAACATCTATGTGAGGCCGCTGGATGAGGTTATCGGGGGGTGTGGAGCATCGTGCCATCAATATGCCGATAATACGCAGCTCTACATCTCCTTTTTGCCAACTACAGTGGATGCCGTTCTGTCCCTGCAGCGCTGCCTGGGGTCTGTATTGCAATGGATGCAGGAGAACAGGCTGAGGCTGAAGCCAGACAAGACGGAGGTCCTGAGGGTGGGTGGGCCTAGCATCAGCAGTTTGGGAAACTCCCTCTCTTTTGGGGGGTTGACTCTCACCATGAAGAGTGAAGTGCTCAGCTTGGGGGTCTATCTGGCCTAGGCGCTTGTCATGAAACCCCAGGTAGCGTCAGTAGTCTGCACCGCTTGTTTCCATCTCTGGCGGATAGCCTAGCTGCATCCCTATCTAGATGTTGGGTTGCTTATGTATAAAGCCCTAAATGGTTTAGGACCTCATTACCTGACAAAATGCCTTCTCCCACCTAGATCTAGCCGTATCACCCGATCTAGCTAGGAGGTGAGGTTGAGGAGCCTAATGCCGAGGGAGGCCCGGAAGGGAAAAACAAGAAACCGGGCCTTCTCAGCAGTGGCTCCTCGTCTTTGGAACAGCCTCCCTCCTGAGATTCGTATGGCCCCGTCGTTGGGCATCTTTAAATGCCAATTGAAAAGCTGGCTGC